TGTTATGTCTGTTTTTTTTTGTGTGTGTGTCTGTGTGTATATGAGTGTAGTGTGTGTGGTTTGTGTGGGTGTGTGTGTGTGAGTGTGTGTGTGTGTGTGTGTGTGTGTGTGTGTGTGTGTGTGTGTGTGTGTGTGTGTGTGTGTGTGTGTGTGTGTGTGTGTGTGTGTGTGTGTGTGTGTGTGTGTGTGCGTGCGTGCGTGCGTTTGCAACAACTCTACAACCAGATAACAAAGTAACACCAAAAATCCGCTCAGTCTGTTGAACGCCGCCATAAGCCGCCGCACAGACAAGTGACAATCCATTTGTGCGCACCAACCCATTTTGAACTTCCCATTCGGGGAGGATGCTGGATAACTGCAACCCTGCCACATCTGTACAACAAGCAATCAAGGCCAAGCAATCAAGGCCAACAAAAGACAAAGGAAAAAAATGAGCGAGGAAAACGCACAAAAAAAAAAGCCCAAACAGCGCAGTCGCAAAGGCTTTCTTACCTCATGCATTCGCGGAAATCGACGGTACCAGAAACAAAGGTTTGCTTTAACACGTCGCGGCGTGCGTGTGGTGGCTCAGTCACCGTGCTCCCGGTCGTCTTCTGGACGCTGTTCAACGCCGCAAGACTAACAGAGCGGCGTGATCGAACCGTAAAGCGCGCATCGGTGGTATCGTCGTCAAAGGCATCGCCCTCCATCACATCGCTCAGCAGCACAGAGCCGGGAACTTCGGCTGGTGGTGACGCGACGCCACGGCCGCCGTGGGGTGAGTTCACTCCGTCCACCTCCCGTCCTGGGACGACCTCCGCTGTCGAGTTGAAGATTCCGGGAACGAGCGATTTGGTTGCTTTTCCAAATAGGAATGCAGGGCATGCGACAGGAGTGGCGGCCGTAATCGCAGTGTCTGGGGCATCTCTTGCAAGGACGCGCAGCGCCGGGCCATGCACGACATGCGCAAGTTGGCCCAGCACACCGCGGCTGGTAGAACTCAGCTGCAGAGAGCGCATGAGGCGGGTCTGTTCGTACTCTGGCTTTTGCAGCACCTCGAGTGCCGAGATGAGATTGGAAATGTCTCCCCAAGAAAACGAAGCTGCTCGACCAACAAGCCTAGTCAGTCAGCATCCCTCGCATCTCGCATCGTGCTCAGCAACATCAATGCCTACTTACCATCACGAGCAGCCTTGAAACTAATCTCACTCAGAATATTAAAGAGCTTCTTGATGGTGGCGGAAGACTCGCGGGCCACACCGTGGTTTAACGCCCCCAAGCTTGCCGCGCTGTCGTAGATTTGCTGCTGCTGCTGCTCGTACTGGGGCTGAGAGTGCTGCTGTTGCTGCTGCTGAACATTATTGTGCTGCTGTATTACCTTGGAGGTGCTGATGGATGCCTGGTGCTTCAGCAACGAAGCGTATACAAGCGTCTCGCGTAGCAGCTGTGCAGCGTCGGACTGAAAGAGAAAGCTCAAAAACGGGGTCGTGTTGCTCGCCGAGCTTCCGCTGTCCTGACTCTGCACAAGCTCTGTGGCTGCACGGCTGCGCGCGACGTGCATGAGATTCTTGAAAATGCAAATCACAAAAGGAGTAATCCAGTCGACGAAAGGAAGCAAGGCCGTCAGAATGGTTGCTGGAAGCTCGTAGTCGTTGAAGCGTAACTGTGATAGCAGATTATCGATTGACTGGAGTGTGTCAGAAGCATTGAGCGCCACTGCCAGTGCTTCTGACGGCCAGCGAGCGGAATCCGCCGGCGGAACCAGCGAGGAGCGGAATGCATCACAAACAAACTCCAGCATGAGTCGACCTTCGCAGTTCAAAGCCCATACGGCACGCGCAGGCACGCATCTGCTCGTGGTGGTGAGGAGACAAAAACAAAAAGAATGATTCAGCATGAGGAACAGTAGTCACAATATTGAAACGCAACAACGCGCGCCAGTCTACTTTGTAATTGCAATCAGGACTGCAAAGCCTCGAAGCAGGTACAGTTGCTTTTGTGTTGATGGCAAGGCCTGCAAGCCTTGCAGAATCGATTCGTACAAGCGGTCGACAATGTCTAAAGAAAAAGCAAACGCGTGCAAGCCATGAGAAATTCCGTCCTCCCAAGACAATCCCAAACCCCTCCGCCACCGCCACCACCCTCTGTTGTGACGTACCTGGACCATACGTCGGATCGCGCAACAAGTACCGCAAGCAAAGCAACACATCCCAGCTTTCTCTGCCAGAGAAGATGCAAAACTCAAACTGAAGCCTCAAGAGTTGATGCGTGAGCGCTGTCAGAGCAAATCGCAGAAATTGATCAAAAACAAAAACAGTCAGGTGTCTGTGAGAAGGTTGCTTCATCCGATAAACGACGAGCAGGACGAGCACGTACCAGGCGTTGTCAGACAAAACGACGAAGGGTCGGCCAGGATGCGAACAGACTCGAGGGAATTTAGGGACGCTATTGCGCATCCTGCCGGTGATGCAACAATGCACAGGGGAATGGGTCCAGTGGGCAGTGTTTTGGTGTTTTGGCTAGCTGGAGATTCTTCCTCGCTCATGCCATTCTCAGCACTGAAGAGTTGTTGAGTGTCGCTCGCTTCCACACCATCCTCGGTTCGTTGGCGTTTGGTGACTAGAATTCAAGAAAAGGTCAAATCAGATCGGAACAAGTCGCAGTAGTGAAACAACAACAACGAGATGCGAGCAGATCATACTGTGGGTCGCAATGTGCTCGTCCAAAGGCCGTTTCGATGACTCTGATGATTGTAACGACTTTGAAGGTCTTTTTGCAAGGTTCGAGCTAAGACAGCAGCAAGCAGCATAGGAATAAGCGAAATAGCAAAGAAGGAGCAACGACAGCAGTCGGAGTGCACAAGAAAAAAAAGAAAAAAAAAAAACAGAAAAAAAAGAAAGCCTACCAATCAAAGAAATGTGCCTCGCCATCGGCTGTAGCAGCAACGACGGATAGATTTGCGCCGATGGTCAAAGAGGTCACGTAGGCGCCAGTCCATTGCAAGCGCTTTCGGCACTGCCAATCAGGAGCAGGCTACTTTGCAAAAAGAAATTTGCGGCCGATTGCGTGAGTTCCGCAAGTGACATGTGCGTCAGTGCGAGTACACAGATTTATAAAACGTACACTTGGTAAGCTGGTCGCTGAGGTTTGCATGTGTCGAGAAAAGACAGCATGAACGGGCCTTGGTGTGTCGTTGACCTCCCACCTAGAAATTACAACGCTGCTTTGATCCTCAGCGCCTATCCAAGGAGACAACCCAGCAGATTAAAATGAGTAGGGGCAACGCAAAGTTGCGTGTCAATTGGGAATACACACCTGATGACTCTGTCAAAATTAAAGCAGAACCAAAGGACCGAGGATCGAATTTTATATGCCTCAAACTGTCCCTAGCACTCGCGAGAGATAGGCTTGTTTCTGAATCTGCTATCCGAAGAGAAAATCTGCTTCGCTGTGTGCACACCAACGGAAGAGCTGCATAGATCAAAAAGTCAGCCACTATGTGCTCCGGACTCGAAAGACACAAGCGCCTCCCCCGTCTACTCACACTTCGGTAGTCAGCACACTTTCACATATGCTCAAGTGAGTCAGTGGGCGTGCCGCACGTCGCGACGACAGTCGTCATCTCGCCACAGCAATATCGCCGGCGGTCACAACAGTATTGCTGTCGCAAAAGCGCAATGCTCGTGTTGGAACTGGACGAGTTGATGCGTGATGTTAGGAATAGCTGCAAAAGCAGTAGGTTCATCAAGCGAGCGGAAAGTGGGGGGGGGAGAGAAAGTGAGCATTTGCATCGGAATACATAACGAAAAGGAGGGAAGCAATGACGAACAACATGGTACCTTCCCGCTCGACGTTAAAAGGAGCCAGCTGGTACTTGGAGCGCCGAGTGGCACGGTTGAGAACGAGTGTGAAAACTTTTCGCTGTACGATCGGGCCAAGGACGCGTCGGACATGTCATCCACAACGGTTGGTGGTTTGTGCTAAGGTCGGGTGCGTTCACCGCAGCAGCAGCAACGATTCGACCAAACCCAAAAACAAAAACCGAGTCAAAACACAATGAGTCGCGTCATGAACAGCAGAATCAGAATCTTGCGAGTCCTTGCTTACCACCAGCCCATTCTCGAGCCAAACGGCAGCAACAACCGACTCGTCCGTGCCATAGGATTGGGTGTGCTCGCAGTACCACTCGTTCGCAAGATGCGATCGCATTCGCCAGAGACACAGCGTTCCGCCATCATCAATCGAGATGAGCTGAAACCCGCTGCCGCTCCACTTGAGCGTCTTGATCGGTCTGGTGTGGTGTTCCTGAGCGAGCGAGCACATTGCCCACGGCGTGTTTGGGTCCATGATATGAATTGTGTGCAAGCGCATCTCGCCCGAGGCCTCCTGCACTGACGGAGCAGTGCCAGCCGCACTGCTGGTGGACTGCGTTGGATTCGGATTGGCTTGATTCGCGGCTGAGCTTGGACCAGCAGTCACAGTATTCATGCTCGCGGGTGGACCACCTGCCACGCCAGCAGATCCCGTCGGCAGCGATGCTCCAGCGCCGGTTCCCGCGACTGACTGCAAGGTCGTTGCGAGAGGCAGCACGCGGCTGCACGTCGCGAAGGCGATCAGATTGCGCGCCGACCAGTCAATGCATCTGAGCTCACAAGTCACAGCGGGTTTGTTCAATTCCAGAGCACAGAACAAGACAGTGAGGTCATTGAGTCGCAGTGTATAACATTCACATTACACATGTAAGCGAAGGGTCTGTACTGGTAGGCTGGCTGAGCGGTGAGCTCTTGACGGAGCTGCCGGGCATCCGGTCGACGCGACCCCGCACTGCCGCTGCTGCCTGTGGTCGGGGTGCTGATCGAGTGCACTGGTTGTAATGATGCGTGCAGCAGTTGGGGTTGGAGTGCGCTCCACGCAACGTCGTAGACGATCGTCTCGTCTCGCATTTGAGAGCAGTACAGACAGGTCTCGAGCGAGGCCTGAAGCAAACACCAACAGAACAAGGACTGGATGATGAAGAGAGCATGTGCGTTCTCAGTAGTTTCAATGTACAGATTTTGAGTTTGAATCTCAATGCTTGGGTGCTGTAACTTGTTGTGATAGAAGACGACCATGACATGCAAAATGGGATTTCAATGTTCTAGGTTCTTGCTGCTCGAAGAATTTCAGCGTTGTCGTTTCGATCGTGAGAGATGATTTCTGAATTAGTCGCGTTTCCAAGATTTCTGAGACTTGCTCTCTCAGTCCTGTATTGTTTGCTCTGCCCACTTGTTCTTCTCTTCCTCGTTTTGCTTTGCCATCCTTGTTCTATTTCTACCCTCCACCATTACACGCATTACAACACGCGCACTTTGATCGACCACGAATGGCTGAGGCGCCCACGTCCTTTGGTCTCGGCGAGGTTGGCAAGGACTTCATTGCTGGGACATTTGCAGGTACCAAGCAAAAGCAACCATCATCCAACCAGCAACTCATCTCAGCAAAACGATTGGACGGGCGTACATCGGAAGCTGTTCCCCCCCCCCCTCCCTCTTCCATCCCTCAATGGCGAGACTTCAAGAGTGGGGGCAAAGTGTTTTGGGGGAAAAAAAAAAAAAAAACGACGTGAATTTTTTTTTTTTTCTCTGTGAAGCATAGGCGTCTGTGTGAGTTCGCTTTTGCGCAGTGTGTGGACGCTGCCGTCGCTGATTCCGAGTGCGTATCCGTCTCCTGAGTCCATTTCCACCAGCCGCGGGCGGAGCTGCGCCTGTGCGAACAATCCACAACGAGCACAAGCAACAGATAACAAAAAAAAAAACCAACCTTTTTCTTTTTTTTTTTTTCTTTTTTTTTTCTTTTTTTTTTAGCTGGCTTTACATTGGCTTTTTGGTGATTTTTTTTTTTTTCATGATCAATGCAACCTCGATCCACTTTCAACAAGCTGCAGCTCATCCCCAAATCACCACCACTTCACCACCATTTCACCAATGGGGCTGACCCGAGTGCTACTACTAATTCTGCGCTTTTGGCCCAAAACGCTGACTGACCTCGTTCGCATGTTGGCGGCGGCAGGGTGCGCGGGTATCTTGACTGGGCATCCGTTCGACACGATCAAGGTCCGGCTGCAGACGCAGACGCACACGCCAGGAACCCAACTGCGCTACTCGGGCACCATTCACTGCTTTGTCAAGATTGTCCGCGAAGAGAAGGTCAGTGTCGGTTTGGGTTTGGGTTTGGCTTGGTTTGAGACGATAGCAGCGCAATGCACACACGAGATCAGCATTGATGCGAGCGAGGACGCGACCGTAGATCCCGATCAGACAACGCGTAGACTGACGTCGTTGTCGTTGTCGTCGTCGGTCGTGTTGGATCGCTGGGGGTTGGTGCTGGGGTGCTGGGGGGTGCTGGGGCGATGTTGGAAAGTCGACCCCATTTCAGGAACGAGTCACGGTCTCACTCGTCACGCCAACTCAACATGGGTTTTGACAACTCTCTTGATTTTTGTATCTGTCTTTTTTTTTTTTTTTTTTCATGTCTCTTTTTGGTTTGCAATGCTCAGATTCGCGGACTGTACAAGGGCATGGCGTCGCCGATGGCGGGAGTTGCGCTGATCAATGCCATGCTCTTTGGCGTTTACGGTAACTCGGTGCGCTTGCTGGAAGGGTCGGGCTCTGCAGAGCCCGCACGCCGTCCGAGCATCCAAACGGTCTTTATCGCAGGCGCCGCATCGGGTTTGGTGAATAGCTTTGCCAGCTGTCCCATCGAGCTTGTCAAAACACGGTTGCAAATCCAGATGGACTCTGCTGTCGCCACCAACTCAGGCTCGTCTTCACTACCCTCTGCAACACCGCCAGCAACAACAATAACAACAACAGCAGCAGCACCAACAGCAGCGTCGGGCACAGGACCAACAACACACGCTCTAGCTGGCTCGGCGCCAAAAACAACAGCGGGAGCGATGGCAACGTCGGCCGTCCCGCATCGCGCACTGCACTCTTTCTCTGTCTTTTCATCATCTAGCCCCTCCAGCGTACCACTTTCATCTGCACTTGCTTCCTTCAAGGCGGCCACGTCGAGTCCCGCGCCCTCTGGCACAACCTCCTCGACATCGGTAATATGGTCGGCCGTTCGCCGAAGATTGCCCTTGTCGCGGTCGTTGTCCACGTCTGCTACAACCAAAGCGACAGCAACCATCACTCCTTCTGCAACAGGAGCGGCAGCAGCAACAGCAGCAGCAACAGCGGAACCCTTGTACAAGGGTCCCTGGGACTGCTTTGTGCGCACGGTGCGCCAAGATGGTATTCGTGGCATTTACCGAGGGCTGGTGCCAACCATGCTCCGCGAAACACCTAGCTACGGCGTTTACTTTGCTGCGTATGAAATGCTGTGCCTCCGATTGGCGGGCCCTGGCAGATCCCCTGACGATCTGTCTGCACCCGCACTCATGCTCGCCGGAGGCGCGAGCGGCATGGCTGGCTGGCTCAGCACCTACCCGACGGATGTCGTCAAGTCGCGCATGCAAGCCGACTCGATGACCAACCCTCAATACCGCGGCTTTGTGGATTGCGTCGTCAAATCATATCGCGCAGAAGGACTTGGCGTCTTTTTCCGCGGCTTTAACGCGACCATGGTCCGAGCCTTCCCCACCAACGCGTCCACGTTTGTCGTGTACACCATGTGCATGCGGCTTCTGGGTGGCGTCGACACGTCCCAAGACCACTCCCACACGCGTCATATGGAGTGAGGAGTTTTGTGTCTGGAACTCGGAATATTTTTTTTCCGTCCGATTCTGGTGGGGGGAGGGGCGGTGCTTTGCTGTTCACAAGCGTTGTGACGCCATACATCCTTTCTCCTATTTCAACATCTCTCCCGTGTTACCATCTATTTTCTGTTGTTTCCCGCGTTCTATTTTTTTGTTTGTGCCAAGCTTTGGTCCGACGTTTGTTCGTGAACGGTGCTGTTTTTTTGTGTTATAAAGTGTTTCAATACGACTTTGTTCAGTCACGCATCATTACAACCTTCCTGCTTTTTTGCTTCTGAGCTTTTGTGCTTCACTCTCACTTTTCATTCTCGCATCTTTTTTTTTTTTTTTTTTTTTTTTTTTTTTTTGTCGTTATCTTGAGTCATTTTCTCTCAATGAGCAGCAGCATCGGCGGCTCTGCGGTGGACGATGGCGCCGCCGCGGTCGTGTCTGTCGGGCGGCACTTTCTTGAGGCCGTGTCGCCCATGTTCCTGATGCCCGCAGCCATCGCGTCGACGGGCGGCATCTCGCGCACCCAGCCCAGCCATCTCGCTGCTGACATTGAGCTCGCCTTCCTCACGCTCGCCTCACGCGCGCGGCTACTTCCAGGCGGCGGTACGATTGGGGGTTTTGTTTTTCTGCTCTCTTCTCGTTCGAGCTTTGTTTTTTCCCAGTCTGTCGTGATCTCTGTCGCTTGAGATGGTGTTTGCTTGGGGTTGTTTTTGGCTTCATGTCAACGTGCAGCTCGGCGAGTCGGAGTTGGACAATCCGCAGTGGTTTTGCAGCGAGTTGGTTCAGAATCAATCATCTCACCTCTCTCCAACGTGTCTCCGCCTCGCTGCCTCCGTGGGATGAGCGGCAAAGCAACCACCCAACTTTGCAAGTCCATCACTACGCTCGCAATGAGAGCTCAGCAACCACTCAAAAGCAAACGAAAAAAAGCTGCCAATCTTTGAGAAAAACCACGAACAAAATTTTTCGGTGGTTTTTTTTTTCTTTTTTTTTTTCGTTTGTATGGATTTCTCAATGGTTTTTTTTTTTTTTTTTTTTTTTTTTGATTTTGATTTTGACTTTTGATAGACGAGCGTGAGACAAGTACCGTGTCAGATTGGCTGGCCGACAAGGCACGGGACATTCGCGCACTGCTGCGGGAGACACGCATCGAGCTGCTGCTTGCATCGTTGCTCATAAGTCTGATGGAGCACACTGCCAAGAGCACGCGCACGACGCGGGAATCGGACGCAGGGACGACCGCTGGTTATGCTGCTGCGGTTAGCAATCCCGCCAGCGCCAATGCCATCCCAAGTACGACAACTACTACTCCTCGAGTAACTACTACAGCTGCTACGGTCCCTACTCCTGCGCCTATCGAGGTCGCTCATCAGACGATTGGTACAAAGACGAGGAATGACACGGTTTCGTCCAACTCGAGCACGTCTGCGGAAGCAGCACCCCCGCAATCCAGTCGAGTTCCTCCTTCTTCAGCTGCATCCACGCATGTAACAGCAGCAGTAGTACCACCATCCACAACACCCGGACAAGCGATGGACGATGCGTTGCTCGAGCTGGAACAGCTGCAAAGCAATGTCCTCGGCGACATCCTCGATGAATTTATTAACGTCATGGCCACGATGCAGCCAGAGGAGCTCAAGACGGCAACGGCATTCCAATCGACAGCACCAGAACCCGAGCAAGTACCAGTGAGGCAAGTAGAGCCAACTAGAAAGCCTGAGGAGCCCGCCGCCAAGGTGATCCTTCCAATTGCAAAGCGATTACCTGCCGCGCCTCCGGTTCCAGTAGCTTCGGCTCCTGTTGCTCCAGTTGTCTCGGCTCCAGTTGCTCCAGTTGCTCCAGTTACTCCAATTCCAGTCGCTCCAATTCCAGTTGCTCCAACTCTGGCTGCAGCCGCAGTTGCACAACCAACTACATCATCGCCAACCGCGGGAGCAACGGCAGCTCCCACCTCACCGCCTCCCAGTACCCAGCATTATCAACCACCAGTGGCCGTGACTGCAGCCAGCCCTCCGCCCATCTCGGCCCCGTCCTTGGAGCAACAGCAGCAATCAACCCCGGTGCTGCCTCCTGTTGCTCGCCAGACCACCACCCCAGCATTGTCGCCAACCTCAGCACCGGTGGCAAGTTTGCCAGTAGCAACTAGTCCTGTTTCGATTCTGCCTCCTGTGACCACTCCGTCCCAGCGCAAATTCTCGACCGAACAGCAGCTCCCCAAAGCCATCCGGCAAGCAGCTCCGCCACCAGCGGCCGCTTCAACTCCCTCTCCGGCCCTGGCTGCGTCAGCCAACGAAGCCTCCTCTGTGCGCGTGTTCAAGTCTTCGTCTGGGTCGGCACCCACATCTCTCATTCATCCTGGGAAGCTAGATACCCCAGTTGGAGGAGATTCCGTCGTTTTGCCCCGCGCCCAATCAGCCTCTGCTTCGACCGCTACGCGTGTGTCACCCCCAGACTCCACCGCGCTGCTTTCACAGCAAGGCGACGACGGCGAGACCCGGTCATCGGTGGACGAGCGGCCTGCGACGCGCTCATCACACTCGAGCAGCAATGACAAGCTTTTTGTCGCTCGCTTCTTCACCTCGCTCGAGCTGCACGCTCCACCGCAGCTTATCGAGTCGAACAATGTGTCGCACATTGTAACGAAAAACCTGATTATGAATGCCATCGATCCAGTCAAGGCGGACAAGACCCGACTTACGCAAGAGTTTGACATGCAACGCATTACCGTCACCCGACATGAAAACGACCAGCGAGCCGTGACAGTCACCAAGAGCTCCGCAGATGGCGGGAGCAGCAATAATCGGGCCAATCTATACTACAGGGAGTTGGTGCCGCTTAGTCCAAACTCGACGCCAGACACGCGCTCGTCCGCCACCTCACCGACTGGCTTCCAATCACCACACCGAGCGCAGTCGCCACAGCCACAACCACCGTCTTCACCAGCACAGTCACTCTCCATACAAGCCTCGCCGCCCTCTGTGAGCTCGTTTTTCCAATCCGATCATTCCGATCACTCCGACGACACAAGCTCTGACGATCGTCCCATTTCCACCGCCTCCGAACTGGTGAGTCCTGGCTGTTGTTGAGTGATGAAAGGGGGGGGTGGTTTTGCTTTTGTGGGTGTTAAGACTGACGCCCTTTTTGTTTGTTTGTTTGGGGCGGGTTTGGTTGGTTTTTTTGGGGGGGGGGGGAATTCCGTTGTGTGTGCTGGCTGGTCTCGCATAGTTCCACATTTGGCAGGCATCCAAATCAAGTTAAACGATACCTAGAACCAAAGCACATGCGCCTCTCGTATTTGTTCCATTTTCTTTTTGTACATTGTGTATGTTTAATCGAGCTCATTCTACTCTGTCCAGTCTACTCTCGATGCACGCTCCCTATGTACTCCTTGTTTCCAATCTACACGAGCTAGATCTTGCATTTCCCTGAAAGTCAACGAGCGCTCCATCGACAGAATGAATATTCACCAACGAATGGAAACCACACTCTCCCAATCTCTCGGTCTTTGTGTACCTCGCCCCAAAAAAAATCAATCGAATCACTGTCGGAGCATTCTTACATGCTTACTTGATGGACGTGTCGATCTCCTCGTACCTTTTGATTTCATTCATTCAGTCTTTCAGTCATTTTCGCATTTTTGAGTTGTAGAATGTCGAGCGCTTCAACTCCAGCACGGCAGCTGTTTGACCTCCACGGCCAGTTTGGGGAGACCGACTGGGGCCCGCTGTTCAAAGCGACGAGCCGCACCACATCCGACGTGCTCACTGCCGAGGTCATCTCGTTCGACGGGATTGAAGAGGACGAAGCGACGCTGCGGGCACAGAGCGTCCGCGCACTGTACAGCCGACTTGCCGACGCCAACGGCCTCGTCGACCACCCAAACATTGAGCGCTTCATGGGCATCTTCCGAGACAAGCGCGAGCTCTGGGTAAGCGTGGCGGCGTCTCGAACAAACGAAAACCACCACCCACAAAGAATGCAAAACCGCGAGCGAACGAGCGTCAAAGTCGGCAAGCAAGCAACATTGAGCTAGAAAGTGCATGCCCTCGATTTGCATGCGATACACCGAGCAAACGTTATATGGAGAATGGGCGGTGATGAACGGCGCGGGGGCGGTTTTGAATGAGGGAAGAGAGGGAACCAAAATTCTCACCCAATTCCCGACCAAATTTGAAATACTGCATGGAAAAATGCATGGCAGATTACAACAGAGTACTGCTCGGCTGGGCAGCTGCAGAACATTGTGCAGATCGCCAAGGGTCTTCCGGAAGAAGCCATTGCGTATGTGTCTGCAGAGGTGCTCAAGGTAACGTTTTCGAAATTGAGATTCAGGGTGCAAATTTGAGCCATCATCTTTTTTCTCATGTCACTTTTCAACACAAATTTCGCAGGGCGTCCGATTCCTGCATGCTGCTGGAGTGGTGCATCGCAACATTACGCTGGATTCAGTGCTGCTTGGACTGGACGCGTCCGTCAAGCTCGGTAAACAGGGATTGTTCCGGCATCTCATTCCTCGCAAAATTCTGAATCTCTCACCCTCCACCTCCAACCTGACCTCCAACCTGACAGCCAAATTTGATGTGAGTCGCGAGCTGCAGCACTCCAGCCAGCGCCTCAAGTCGTTTGTGGGACTGCCTCATTATCTCTCGCCCGAGATGCTCATTACAAACAGCTACGGACCCAAGGTGCGTTGTTTTTCTTCTAGACATCCGATTTTGGAGCCCAACAGAAAACATAGCGTAACTCACGCTGTGGTGGTCTGCACCTTTGCACGGTAGATTGATATCTGGGCAATTGGAATTACGGCAATTGCGCAAGCTGAAATGTTCCCGCCACGACATGAGCTTCACCCGCTGAAGGTGATGATGGAGATTCCGCGCGCTGCTCCTCCAACCCTCAAGGATGCCAAGCGATGGTACGCTGAACCATTCATGCATGAGTTGAGCGAGACAGTCGAGTGCGTGTGCGAACGCCCCTGCATTGATTTGTGCTTTTGTTTGCGTCATTGCACAGGTCCTCGAACTTTAATGACTTTGTTGCTGCATGCCTCGTGCGCGAAGAAGACGCGCGCCCTACTTCGACAGACCTTGCCAAGGCAAGTGCTTGCCGTTCTTGCTCTGGCTATTGTTTCAAACTATGGTTCTGGTAGTTCACTTTTTTGCGATCTGGTTTGGCAACGACAGCATCCCTTCCTCACCAGCAAAGCGTCGGCTTCACGCATCATCTTGCGCGGGCTGTTGGAGCAATACGCGACCGAACTTGCCGAGATGATGCATGACGACGGCTCTGCTCCACAAGCCCCGACCTCGAGCACCTCTGCTGCAACCGAAGATCATGATTTGTCCGACACTGTGTCCTATGCCAGCGATTCTTTGGTGCAAAGGGTGAGCGGGTTGTTTGTCTTTTGTTTTGTAGAGGTTGCGAGACTCACTCACTTGCATTTGAAAAAACTAAAAAAAAAAAAAAAAAAAAAAACTACAGAATCCTGTGCACTTTGACACAGACAGCGACTCGGACCCAGAGTCACATCCCGACATGCTGGAAGCGATTGATGAAAGGTTTGAAGCTTTTGGGGCTCGATTTCTGGCTTTTGATTGTGGCTTGTGCTGACTGATTTAAACGGTTCTTTGTTCTTGACTTGAAAAATAGCGATGACCACGTTGCACCGGAAGCGAAAGCGCGACGAAAACGTGCCAAGAGCACCGTCAAGGTAATGCTCTCTTTGCGCGACTGCGTCCAATGTGTGTGCTCCAGTTTGTCCGAGTGCGCTTTGACTGACGTGTCGCTGTCTTTTGTTTGTTTTTTTTTTTTCCCTTGATTGCAGAAAAACCCGTTCGGCTTGACAGCACAGGCCGCATTGGCACAAGCAGCAAAGCTGCCCTTTACATCGCTCAAGTACTTGTCTCTCGATGATCTCGCGATTGCCCATCGATTGGACGACGACGATGCGCACTACAGCAGCACTCGGGCGTCGCTTCGTAGCTTCTCTGGCATCTGCACCGGTGTTGATGAAGACAGCGATGCCCATGTACAAGCTGTTGTGTCCGATTTGCTCCCACCTCGCTCTCGTCGTCGGGTAAGAGTGTGTGATGGACTTTGGCGTGATCCCATTTTGGTGCTTAACTTTTGCGTGCTTTGTTTGGAACAGAGTATCGACCCAACCGAGCTGCCCGAGCATGTCCATCATCTTGCCCACTTGGCATGGCTGCATCAGCATCGCGTCTTCACCACCGTGTGCCCCCACGAAGCGCAGACGGCGCTAGAAGCCACGTCCTTTGCCGTGCACCAAGTGACCGGGATGTATCTCAAGCTTAGCCATCCGTCCGCCATGGCCATGCCTTAGTGTCTTCCTTCAACAGTGCTGGAGTCGTTGCATGATGGAAAAAAAAACCGGACGATGTTGTGCTTGAGAAGTGTAAAGCGAAACAAAAACACAATCTACGACCGATCTGATATTTCCAGCTGATGATTTGTGCAATACAGACGCCGTTTCCAAGTCGTTTGCATTGATAAAACCCAGTCTTTTATTTTTATTATTATTGTTCCTTGCTCTCAGAGTCGCAGATATCTCAGACATGAGTTTGGCTTCCGAGCTGTTTGCCGACTTCCAGGACGACTCTGCCGCCATCGATGCGGCGGTCGCGGGCGGCGCGTCCATCAACAACCTGCACCACGGCATGTACACGCACGGCGCATCTGCGACTGGCACTGGCGCAGACGACTATGGCGCAGACGACTACGGCGCGGACGACCAGAACGTTGCCGGATCGTCGTCGGCGGCGTCGTCGTCGTTGCTGGGACGGTCCTCGGGCACTGCAGGTGACGGGTCGTCCTACTCGCTGGCGGGCGCATCTGGAACTGTAGCAGGGACCAGCGCGCTGACCGGGTCGCTCAAGACGGGCACAGTGCAGCAGTCCGCTCCATTGTACTACTCGCCCGACTTCCAAGCAGTGGTCGCTGCCGTGCGCCAGGCAGCCGCAGCGCCGCTGTCGGACATTGGATCTGCATCGTCGTTGTCGTCGTCGTCGTCGGCGTCGTCGGGTGGTGCTGCGCAGGAAGTTAACATCGAGTCCAACCCAGAGTACCAGCTCGTCGTCCGAGGCAACGCGCTCATAGTCGAGATTGATACCGAGATTCGTGTCATTCACAAGCTCGTGCGAGACGCCTATGCCGTGCGGTTCCCAGAGCTCGAAACACTGGTCGTCAATCCGGTGGATTACATGCGGACTGTGCTGGTGCTCAAAAACAATGTGGCCTCGGCCAAGGACGCCAATCTCGCCAGCTTTTTGGCCGCAGCCACAGCCATGGTTGTCGTCATGGGCTCGTCAACGCAGTCAGGCCAGCCTCTGTCTGAACTCGAACTTTCGCGCGTCGTGGAGGCGTCGGAGGTGGCTGTGGCGCTGGATGTTGCCAAACGAGACATCATTTCGTTTGTCGAGGGTCGAATGACATTTATTGCCCCCAACCTGTCCGTCTTGCTGGGCACTTCGGTTGCGGCCAAGCTGTTGGCACTGGCTGGCGGTCTCACGGCGCTGTCCAAAATCCCGGCCTGCAATCTGCAGATTCTCGGCCAAAAGAAGCTCGATATTGCGACTGGTGTCAGCGAGGCACCCACCGCGCCGCATGCCGGTGTCATCTACCAGAGCGACATTGTGCAACGAACACAGCCCGAGTTTCGCAAGCACACCATGCGCGTGCTGGCCGCCAAAGTGGCGCTCGTCGCGCGCGTTGATGCCTTCCACCAATCGACTGACGCCAGCATTGGCCGCAAAATCATGGACGAGATTGAGGCCAAGGTAGAAAAGCGCGAAGAGCCGCCGCCGCCGCGCCTTCCGAAGCCGCTTCCGGCGCCCAAGGAAGGCCGAAAGAACAAGCGTGGAGGAGCCCGTGTTCGCAAGGCCAAAGAGCGCGTCGCCCCAACCGAGCTGCGCAAGCAAGCCAACCGCGTCTCGTTCGGAGTTGCGGCCGAGCACCAGAACCAGATGGATCTCGGCTACGATCTTGGTATTGCTGGCAACGCCTCCAACGGCAAGATTCGCGTGGCCATGGTCGACAACAAGTCTCGCATCACCCTCTCAAAGAAGCTGCAAAAGGAGGTCCAACGGGAGCGTCTGCTCGCCGGAAACATGACCGCGCTTGCCCACGGTGCAGGTGTGGGTCAAGCATCAGCAGCAGCATCAGCAGCGCCTGCCGTCTCCGGCACGGCCACCGTCGCCTTCACCTCTGGCAAGGGCATTGAGATTGTCAACCCGAACGCTGCCGAACGCCGTGCTCCAGACTCTGCCAGCGGGTACTTTTCCACCATGGCGTCCTTCTCCAAAGTCAAGCGGCCTGGAGTTGGCACCAGTGCAATGCAGATGTAATGTCTGAGACGAAATAAATGTTACTAGTTTTCTGCTGTTGTACACAATGGTTGTTGATGTTTGGATTCAATGGTAAATTCATACAAAACTGGGATTTTTTTTTTTTCATTTCTCTTTTTTTTTTTTTTTTTTTTCTTTCGTTCCTTTCGTTCCCTTCCTCTGCTGCTGCTGCTGCTGCTGCTGCTGCTGCTGCTCGTTGCTCCTGCTGTTTGCTTCAGTTCTGTGATTTGCCTGCCCTCGGGACTGCTCCGCAACCATGGAGAAGCTCCCGAAGCCCGAGAAGCTCGGTCCCTATGTAAGCAGACCAGAATGAAAAGCAAAAAAAAAAAAAAAAAAAAAAACCATTTATTACCATTGGATTTGCATTGGATTTTTGATTTTTGATTTTATTTGATTTTTTATTTGATTTTTTATAAAATTTGAAACTCACTGACTTTTGGTGCTTTTGCATTGGGTTTTTTTTTTTTCGTTTGGTGATGATGTTGTTGATGTTGTGTAAATCACAATTGCAACCTCTTTCCTATGTGTGTGTGTGTGTGTGTGTGTGCAGATGATGGGCGGGATTATCGGCAAGGGCGGCTTTGGCGCAGTGTACAAGGCCATCAACGAGAACGACGGCACCACGGTCGCCATCAAGAAGGTCAAGGTTGGCAACATGGAGGTCTCGAAGCAAGGCGTCATCATGGTAAGCAAGCGCGGAGCGAACCAGGTCGAGACGGCGGGAGAGACGCGCGGCCGTTGGAGTTTGGCTGAACCGACCCAGCGAGACCCTCGACCTCGACCTCGACCTCTCCCATGTCTATGTCGGAGCATATCAGTCCTCAATGGTCACAACAACAGCATTGTACACATCTAACGTGTTCTTTTTTTTTTTTTTTTTTTGTGTGTGTGTGTGTGGGGTCCTCTGCCTCGTAGGGTGAAATTGACCTGCTCAAGAAACTCAAACACCCTAACATTGTCAAGTACATTTCGTGTCTCAGCAAGGACGGCTTCCTCTACATTGTTCTTGAGTATGTGCTGATTTTTTTACTGCTGCGAGGGGTCTTTATTTGTCCTGTGGGACCTTTGCCGCTGACCTTGGTCTCTTGCTCGGCTCTTGCTTGTCTCTCTCTCTCTCTTCCCCCCCCCGCCCCCTCGACCTTTTCCTTTGCCAGATATATCGAGAATGGATCGCTGCAGAGCATATGCAAAAAGTTTGGTCAAATCCCAGAGACGCTGACGAGCGTGTACATTGCTCAAGTGTTGGAGGGCTTGAACTTTTTGCACGAACAAGGTTTGCTCGCTGACTGCGTTTTTGGAAAGTGGGTCGGCCGTAGTAGAAAATGCTGATTGGTCTACCATTGGATGCGTGTCGTGCTCACCTCACAGGTGTCATTCATCGTGACATTAAGGGTGCAAACATTCTCACAACCAAGGACGGCCATGTCAAACTTGCCGATTTCGGTGTCGCGACGACGCTCGTGGACAATGAAAAGGTGGATGTTGTTGGTACTCCGTACTGGATGGCTCCCGAGATTATCGACATGAGTGGACCTACAACAGCGTCTGATATTTGGTGAGTGCAAAATGCTCTCTTCCAAATGCTTTGATGCTTTGGGCGTGGAATGACCCTCTCTCTCACTGTTCACCTTGCCTTTACGTTGTCGCTCTTGCCTCTGTGCTTGCAGGAGTGTTGGAAGCACCGTTATTGAACTCGTTAGCGGCAATCCGCCCTATTTCGAACTTGATCCCCTTCCGGCCATGTTCCGCATCGTGCAGGACGACCACCCGCCACTTCCCGAGGGTGTCTCTGGTGTAAGTAGTCAACGAGGATGCTTTTTATGCATTTTGCTCGAAGCGCGGTGTTTTATTTTCTGGATTTATCGTTTAACGCTCGGTTTCTTTTATTCCTTTTCTTTCTTCTTCCTCTCCTCCTCTCTTGCCTCCCTTCTCTCGTGGTCAGGCGCTGCGTGACTTTTTCATTCAGTGCTTCCAAAAAGACCCCAACCTTCGCATTTCGGCCAAAAAACTTCTGCGTCACCCGTGGCTGGCGACCGTGAAAAAGAACCAGGTCAAGCGGGCTCCTAGTTCTGCATCGCAGGCGTCTGTAACCTCCGAGGACAAGTGGGACACGGCTTTGACCACCATCAAGAACTTTAACACGTCGCGATCGAATGTAGCGCGCTCTCCGTCGTCGGCCAACGCTGCGAACGCTGCCGCTGCTGCAGAGGGCCGCCGCAAGCAGAGCAAAGTTCGCCGCGAGCGCAGCATTGGCAAGATGGATGCGTACATCAGCACGGCTGCTGCCACGGCTGCGGATGGGGACAAGCAACGCGGCGGCGAAGGCAAGGCGCGTCCGTTCTCTGCCATTCCTTCGTCTCGCCCTTCCTCCAAGCCCTCGCAAGAACCGGCTACTGCCACCAGCGACAACAATCAAAACTGGCTCGGAGCTGCGCGCAGCATGTTTGACTCTGCCGCGGACATGACCGCCCAAGTGGTTGCTGAAAAGGCCCGCTTGAGCAAGGAGCGTCCAGTCAGTGCCATTTCTGCTCGGCAGGCCGCTGCGTCGGCCCAGGCGTCCACGCCCGTACCACGTGGACTGCAGTCGATTGATTTGAGCGGGGTCAACTCGCCCGACGCCAGCATCGGCTCTGTCTATAGCAACTCGCCCACCATCATCGCTGGCCCTGACGGCAGTCCCCTGCCTCGCGGAATTGGTGGTGACAACTGGGACGAGGACTTTGAGGGTGATATCAACGTTGGGAGCAAAACAGCATCCACCATCAAGGTGCTCAATGTCAAGCAGCTGCCCCGAGCGCTCGCCGCGAGCGCCGCTGCCTCGACTGCCAAGAGCGCTACTCCTCCGCTCAACACTGCGCACGTGACAACCCGGAAACCCTCCAACGATGCCAAGTACGATGGCGATGACTGGGAGAGTGACTTTAAGCTCCCTCCTGGCGGTGCCTTGCCCATCGCCAAGGGCCGCACTTCTTCTGGCTCTGCGCCCGCACCAACCAGCACGGCCGCGCCTGCTGCTGCTGCTGCTGCATCAAAGCCCTCATCTGGTGGCTCGGCTGCGCAAAGTGCTGCCAAGGCCCGCTCCGTCAACAACCCCGCCGTCAAGGACCTCTCGGCGTTTGTTGACAAGGACGAGGACGACGACGAAGTGGTGGTTGTGCGCACCTCCATCATCACACCGGCCACCTCGACCAACGCCACCCCGATCTTTGCTGCGGCCAACAACCCGGCTGCTGCAGCTTTGCCGCGCGCACTGGGCGGCGTCTCCTCTGTGCTGGCCAAGTACCGCGACTCGGACGATTCGTTCAACGATTTTGACGTGGACGATGACGTCTTCTCCAAGATTAAGAATCCCTCCAACAGCGCCCCCAACCAGCTGCGCATGATCTCGCCCGAGACCCTCCAGTATCAGAAGGACGCTGCTGCGGCTGCCGGTAGCGGTGCTCCTGCGCCCGATCCGTCTGGGCTGAGCCGCTATGCGGAAAAGGAGTCGGATGCTGACTTTTCCGACTTGAGCGGCCCCAGGCTCAAGGCCACAGCCACATCGGCCGCTGCTAGCACCTCCCCGAGCAAGACCTCTCCGGGCAAACCGTTTGGTCACTCTCGCACCGGCAGCACTGGCGGCCATCCCAAGCTTGTCGGCAAAATCAGCGGCTCGAGTCCCACATCCGGCTCCTCGACCCTCATTGGCAGCGGCGGTGCCATTGGCTCGCTCAAGGCCAACGCTGGCAACCATTCGCTCAAGGTGCGTCCGCCGACCATGGGCTCCCGTCCCCAGTCATCGTCCGGCCAGGCCGACGACGACGACGCTGGCTTTGATGCTAGCGGTGACACCCCACTCAAGCTGCGCTCCAACAACCGCATGGACACCTGGAACGTTGCCGCCGAAGAAAGCGAGGGCGACGACGACGATCCGTTCGCCGATGTCGAGGACGAGTTTGAAGAGTACGATGAAGAGGAGGCCATTGGCCGGGACAAGCATGCTCGCATCAGCACTGAGATTCTCGGTCTTATCTCGGGCTTCCGCACTCCGCAGCCTGAAGCCACTGTTCTTGCTTCGTGTGAAACGCTGGTACGAATCGGAAAAGGAGGAGGGGGGGGGCGAATTGGTTTTGTGGTTTTGATTTGCAGAAGGAAGAGTTGCTCATATTTGTACTGCACTTGCGTCGTCACACCCGAAAATGTGCAGATTACCTTGTTCTTGGAGAATCCCGACCAAAAGCTCGAGCTCATTGCCAACCACGGAGTTGTCCCCATCTTTGAAATGCTCGAAGCGGCTCGTCAAATTACTGTCGTTCATAGCGTTCTGCGCGTGATCAACACTGTAAGATGCTTGTTTCTCTTTGGCAATTGTACTGCTGCGAGAAATCTTCGGAGACGCTCAACAATAACGCCTGCTAGATTGTCGAGTCCAACACTCTGATTCAAGAGAATCTTTGCTTGATTGGCGGCTTGCCAGCCGTGATGAAGTACGCTGCCAACACGTACGCCTTGGAAGTGCGCACAGAGGCCGTGCGCTTCATTCGCGAGGTCTGCTACTCCGAGTCTCCCGTCACTCTGCAAATGTTTATCGCCTCGCGAGGCTTGCCTGTTCTTGTCGAGTGCATCGAGCCGGATTTTGCCAAGTTCCGTCCTCTGTCTTTGATGGCTTTTGAGAGCATTCTTCCCGTGTTCGAGATTGAGGTTGGTGGTTGTTGTGCTTTGCTTGGGGCTGTGTTTCTCTCTCTTCGTTCTGAGCACTAGAAACTGACTCGTATTCCTCTTTGTAGACTGCCGTTCCCAAAAACGACTTTGCTCGCATCCTTACGAAGTGCGGCTTTGTGCGTCGAATGTTTACTCTGTTGCGCAACCTGCTGCGCGACCGCAGCGATCCCGATTCGCTGCTCTACGCCAACTACATTGGCGACCTGTTCCTGCTCTTCTCCCATGCCGACGCCTTGGTGAAGGCCGAGCTTGCCGCTGTCGACTTGCTGAAGGGTGCGGCGCTGTTCGTTGTTCGAGTTTTTGCTGTGCTTGCATTCTTTGAGGTGTTTTTTTTTTTTTTGTCGGATGTCTCACCCCCTCATCTTCCCGTGCGGTGCAGATCTCATTGCTCTTTTCAGCGACATGCCCCCAGAGCTTCTTCTCAAGTTCATCAAGACGGTCAAGAACCTGACGTACGAGCCGCAGACGCTGTCCTGCTTGATGGAGGCGGGCGTCATCCCGAAGCTCATTCGCATTCTGGAGCTGCGCTCTGGTCTCTTCCTCACGGTATGCACTCGACTGTTCAACAACAAATCGGCCCTGCCCAGAGACTGACTTGATCTCCGCTCCTTCTTCTTTTTGCGTTTGCCGTTTTGCCCAGGAAATGCACAACCACGTCCTCGGCTGCTTGTTCAACTTTTGCCGCATCAGCCGCGAGCGCCAGGAGCATGCTGCCGTTTCTGGTATTGTACCTCAACTCAAGTACTTTATTACCATTCCCAACAGCCCGCTGCGTCAAGTGGCCCTCCAAATCATCTGCGACATTGCTTACGCCAGCAAGAAAGCTCGCTCCATTCTCTGGGAAAACGATGGTGTTCGCCTCTTTATCGATCTGCTTCGTGATCCCTACTGGCAGGTCAATGCCGTCGACGCCCTTGCCACCTGGTACGTGTTGGGGGGGGGGTTTTTTCTGGGGTTTTTCGGTGCGAGAAAAGGTGATGTTGATGCCAACCGCCCGCTTCCTCCTGCTCTTTACCTCCTGATTGCTCACACAGGTTCCAGGATGACGACCACCAGCATGTGGAGCCACTGTTGTCCAAGCCCGACGCCATCGAAAAGATTGCGCGCGCCTTCACGCTGTGTCGCTCACCGGCGTTTGACAACATGATGGAGCCCCTCACCAAGCTGACCATTTCCAAGCCCGCGCCGTCTAGCAATGCCGTCAACCGCTCTCTTGGTCTGTCCAAGTTGCCCACGACTCTCATTGAGCGACTCAACCACCCCAAGGCCAACGTCCGTCTCAACTTGCTCAAGGCGCTTTTCAACCTGTACAATGGGTCTGAAAACAAAAACAAGATGGTGTACGACTGTGGTTTGGTCCTCGTGGCGAAGCGTCTTTGCAATGACACTGCCATTCTCGTCCAAGAGTTGGCGCGCAAGCTGCTCGAGTCGCTCGAAGACGCTGGGCTTGCCGCCCGTCCCGAGACCCCAGTGTAGACGTGCATTCTGATGCTCTACAGTGCAAGTTTAGTGCATGGACGCCTTGTGTCTGCATTAATTTTCGCATGGGGTTTTTGTTTTTATGCGTTGTGGTTTGATCGTTCTGCTTTGTTGGAAATATTAAGGCATACTTTTATTGCGGTATCTCATTCTAGTCCTTCATTTTCTTGGAAGCTCTGTAATCAAAAGCGCACGCGAGACCATGAGTGACACTTTGACACTCAGAAAATACAAGCCAAAAACAACAAAAAAATCCGTACCCTTCGGCCTTCTCCTCGGCCTTGCGTTTCATGATGGCCTGGACTTTCTGGAAATCGTTGCCCATCTTGGTTCGAGCTTGGCGCAGTTCCTTGGCCATGGCGGCTTTATCTGGCGCCTTGGAACTGTGGCATCCAAGGGAAAAAATGGCAAATCACAAATGAATACTCCCCCAAAAACCACTCACAGACATCGTTCAATGAACGCTACCTAGATTCGCCCGTGTGTGCAAGCCATTCTTCCTCGTTGTCAAAGTCAAAGCGAGTCAGCGTGTGCGTTGGATTGGCCATATTTTTCATGACGCGATCGTAGGAGGACTCTTCTTCATCACCGTCCAGCGCGTCTTTGCTTCCATCCAGCTCTTTAACACGGTGAAACCGCCGAGGATAATACTCGTCTTCGTTTTGGGAGGTGAGAGACATGGTGAGCTTGCGCTCTCCCGCAAACTGCTTTTGGGACTGCGCTGCTTGTTGGAGCTCTGGCTTGAGAGCGTCTAATGCGACTTGCAAGCTGGCACGTTCAGAATTGACGGTGGGACCACTGGACGCCGAGCTAGAAGACGCCTGCTGGCTGGTTGTTGTTGTGATTGCAGCAGAAGTTGTTGAACTAAAGTAGCTTGCAGGCCGTTTGTCAACATCCATAGGGGTGACGGTCGCTTCGTTGCCATGGGGCTCAGCGACACGGGGCACGTATTCGCCGACGTCTGCAAAAATGTCATCGTCAGCGTTGTCGGCCGAGGTACCAGTTTCTTGAGTGGCCGTCGCCGTTGCTGCGGGCGTGGCTCGCGACAAGGATGGAGAAACGGCTGGAGCATGGATGGAAGGTGCCTTATCGCCTTCTTTTGGCAGGGCAGTGTGCATGGGAAACGCGGGCGTTGGAAAAGCTGGCTCTGGAGCGGATGAGTGGTGGGCTTTGCTGCCCTTTTCTTTTTTGCTCGCCGTTGTGGTCTTTTGCAGTGCACGCTCTTCTCGACGAACGGTCATCATTTGCACCAGCTTGTTGATGATGATTTCAGTGTTACCGACCTTGTGCTCCATCAGCTGAAGCGTTGATGCGGACAAGTCTGCTTTCGAACGGATGGCACTTGTTGGGACATCACCCGACAGATAGTCCGAGGTGAGGTCACACACAAAAGCCATTCGGCCAGGCAGGAACAGGTCGTTGTACATGGGTCGGGAATTGCCAAAGAGGGTTTCGTGAATGTTGCGCGCGAGCTTTGAATGAAATTTCGGTGCTTTGTCGTCGTCGTCGTCGTCGTGGTCGTCGTCGTCCTGACCGAGAAGGCTGTTGCCCTCGTTCAGCTCCATTGGCTGCACGCCATCTGCGACAGCCGAAGGCGCTGTAGCGGTGAATGACGTTGGGAGCGGTTGCTGCAGTTGCTTTGGTGCCAATTTCGTGCTCGTAGCGCCTGCCACAGCCGCCACACTTGTTTGCTTTTCGGCATGAAGCACGCCACTGTTTGCTTGCTCGATGCTTGCTTGTTCCTTCTTGAGCAGTGCGAAATCGAGACCTCGCACGAGATGCGTGTGCTTTGCATCGCCACCCAGAAACTTGCTCTGCTCAATCTCGAGCCTGCGCCGCTCCTCGTCGTTGTGCACAGACTCTGTGAGCTGCTCCAGCCGTGCCTGGTAGCTGTTCATCAGCGCCTCCGACGCCTTAAAGTCCGGGTTGATGCCCTTCCTGCGCTCCTCAGCGCGATCGCGGTACTTTGGCTCGCTCGACGCGGAGGCAGCAGCAGCCGCAGCCCGCTGCGCCGCCCGCTGTGGGTTTTGATGGTGGCGGCCAGTTTGTCCCGGCTGCGCGGGTGTCTGGCCACCTGTTGATCCCGGCTTGACTGGCGCTGGCGGCATGAACGGGTTGGACGTAGGGCCATCATCGCTCGATCCTGCTGCCCCCGTCGTCGCTGATTTAGCAGTAGTAGTAGTAGTAGTAGCAGCAGTAGTGCTTGATCGTGAAGTGAGACCCGACGTGGTGCGCGGCGTCATCAGCAGCTTGCGAAAGTCTGAGTTGGACAGCGTGTTGCCATCCTGGTTTGACATTTTCGTCGAGTCTCAGCAGCGCGAGTTCTCAGAGATGTGTCTGGAAAAAATCAGTGGGCGTTGTTATTGTTGTTTGTTGGAATACTTATGTTGGAATACTTGGTTTGTAAATTTCAAGTATTATTCAGAATACGAAAAGAAAGACTGAGATTCCGGGTCAAGTCTGAACGGTTGGGAAATTTCTATTCCATTTCCCATACTGCAGCAACATCATCATCAACAAGAAACAACACAAAGGCTCACTGAACAAAAGTCTGGTTGTATGTGCCCGTTTCAAAGGAGGTCGGAAGGACTCTGCAAATCATGCACTTGTCTTGACGCTGAATCATCCATTGAGCACATGCAACGCAGACACATGCGTGGCAGCACGGCATCAATTTGGCATTGGTCGGGGCGTTGAAGCAGACCAAGCACTCTCGATCGCTGCCTGCAACAGCCTCTTCCTCGTTTTCTCCAGCTTCTTCCCCCGACAATCGTCTCAGGATCTCGCCAAACGACGGTCGATCAACTCGCGTGGGTTCGAGACAATCAGGCGCAAGATCCGCCGCCATGGCTTGAGCCGCGTCCTTGTCTTGCGGGCTCCAGTCAATTGCTTTGTCAAGCACCCCGTCAATTTTACGGCTCTTTTTCAGCTCGCGTCGAACAGTACCCATCAGGTCGAGGCTGGGCTGCTGTCCAGTAACGAGCTCAAGTAGAATCATGCCGTAAGAGTACACATCCGTTTTGATGGAGACCTTGCCTTCCTGGTGGTACTGTGGGCAAATGTACTGCAGTGTGCCTTGAACAGTTTGCGTACGAATGTAGCTGTGAGCATCCACTTGAGCTGGCATAGAGCGCGTCAGACCAAAGTCGGCGACCTTGGCATGAAAGTCAGCGGCCAAAAGTACATTGTCCGTTTTGAGATCCAAGTGGAACAGCGGCTGGCGCGGAATGGCAGTTTGCACAAAGTGCATAGCATTTGCAATACTTGTGGCAATGGTTTGGCGTTGCTGCCAACTCAATGCAGGCGTGCCACCCTTGCGATCGAGACGATCGCGAACAGAACCGTTTGGCATCAGCTCGAAGACCAAGCAACGCTCGTTGCCTTCCTGGGCATAGCACATGATGGTGACGATATTTGGGTGACGGAAACGCGAGAGGGCTTCGAGCTCAGCCTCAAACTGCGCGACACCTTGAGTTGAATCCGCTGCCAACCGTTTGACAGCAACTCGCTGACCGCTCCACACACCAGAGTAGACGCTACCAAATCCACCACCACCGATGCGCTTGGACTCTGAAAACTGCGCCGTTGCTTCCGATAGGACTTGCAACGACACTCGCGGAATGGTGGAGAGGATGGGTGCAGCAGAGGTTATTGGTGGTGCTTGGCGCTCGAGTTCGAGCTGGGCAATGCGAGCTTGCAGTTGACGGATCTCTTCGGTGGAGTCAGTTGGTATCGCGGGACCCGCGTTCGCGCTGCCACGGGGTTTGGAGGCAGGGGCAGGAGGCGTCGGAGAAGATGGAGCGTGGCTGGAACTTGGAGCAGCGTGTGGCACGCCTGCGGCTGCAGAACGGGCAACTTGCGGATCTGTCGTTGTTGGAACGCTTGGACGGACTTGAGCGGCGCGAGAAGCCATCTCCTGTAGTTGAGCAGGTGAAGGCGTACTTTGATTCAAAATGCTGTATGACAGTCCAATGCAGGTCAGTGCAGCGCTCCATCCAACTGTGATTGCGGAACCAGCATGTCAAAATTACGAAAGGTTGCATGTCTTGTTGCCAACTTGTTGCAAAGCATTGCTGCCAGTTTCGGAAATGACGTTCCGATCAAGTCTTGACGTTGCAGTGATATCGTTCTCAAGTTAGAGGAGAAAAACACAAACATTTGCACTCTTCAGCGCTGTTTAACTCACTTGAGAAACATCACCGTCTTGTTGACTTTGAGTGCCTCAGCAATTGCCTGCGCTCCAGCATCGCCAATCTGATTATAGTACAGGCTGTCCGTCCCCTCCATCAGTGAGCGCTATGAATGCTCTCTGGAGGTCATATCGATAAGATGGTGTTGTCTTACTAGAGTTCTGTCACGACCGTGTTTACTTTGAGCGCCTCTGCAATTGCCCGCACAGCAGCATCCCCAACGCGATTAAAACTCAGACTGTATATCCCCTTCACCAGTGAGCACTCTGAATACACTCTGCTGAGATCACCCACTCACATACATCAGTCAAAGAGACATGACGTACTCGAGTGAGGTCAGTGTCTTGTTCACTTTCAGTCCCTCACCGATGGCCTGCGCACCTGTATCGCCGATCTGAGTGGCACGCAAGCTGTCCGTCCCTTCCATCCGTGAGCACTCTGAATGACCTCTGCAGGATCACTCACTCATAAATCAATCAAAGTGAGAACACGTACTTGAGTGTAGTCAGCATCTTGTTCACTTTGAGCGATGCGGCAATCGCCTGCGCTCCGGTATCGCCGATCTGATTGACACTCAAGCTGGTCATTTCTTTCATCGGTGAGCACTTTGGATGCTCTCCGCTAAATCCGGCACTCACATGCATCCGTCAAGGGGAGATGACTTACAAGAGAAAGGTCGGTGTCGTATTCACTTTGAGTGCCCCAGCAATCGCCTGTGCTCCAGCTTCGCCAATTAAATTCCCGCCCAGACTGTGCGTCCACTCCGTCAGTGAGCACTCAAGGATGCCCTCCACTGCAATCACGACCCACACTTACTCAATGTGGTTCATCGTTGTGTTCACTTTGAGTGCTTCGGAAATCGCCTGCGCTCCAGCATCGGCAATCTGATTGTTACTCAAACTGTCCATCCTTCCATCAGTGAGTACTCGTCATGGCCTTTGTTGTGGTTCCTCATGTGCATCAGTCAACGTAACATGACGTACTCGAGCTTCCTCACGGTCGTGTTCAGTTGGAGTGTCTCAGCAATCGTCTGCGCTCCAGCATCGTCAATCTGTTTCGTACATAGACTGTGCGCCATTCCGTCAACACACGAGATGTTACACGTTTTCCAATAAACTCGGTTGTGTTTAAGGCGGGGGGGGGGATTCCTTACTTGAGCCGCTCACTCGCATTCTTGACTTTGTCATACCACTGGTGCTGTCTCTGAGTCACGTTCTCTGTAGAACGTGCTACTTGCGGACTTTCAGTTGAAACGTTGGCCTGGAACTTCGCGTGAGCAGCGTGAGACTGCAGTTGAGCAGGTGGAGGCGGGTGTTGACGTTCCAGCCTGTTTGAGAATTCAACACACATGAGTGCTGCATTCCAACTGATTGTGACTGAAGAAGTGATATTTCAACTTACGCAGGGTTGCATGCCGTGTTGCCAACTTGTTTCAAGCGATTGATGCCATGTTCGGCAATGAAGTTGTTATCAAGACTGGAGTTTGCAGTGATATAGTTCTCAAGTTTGACCGAGAAGACGCAACGTTTGAAACTCTGCAGCAAAGTTCAACTCACCTGAGCACACTCAGTCTGTCGTTCACCTTGAGTGTCTCAGCAATCACCTCGGCACCAGCATCGCCAATCTGGTTCTCATTCAAACTGCTCGTCCCATCCATCTGTGAGCCACTCTGAATCTCTTCGGCAGAAATCAGCCACATATATACATGGTCCAGCTGAGATGCTTTACCCGAGTACGGTCACCGTCCTGTTCACTTTGAGTGCCTCAGCAATCGCCTTCGCTCCAGCATCGCCAATCTGATTCCAGCCCAGACTGTCCATCCCCTCCTCCATCAGTGAGCTCTCGATGCCATCTGTTGAAACCACCACTCATATCATCAATAAAAATGAGACGCCTTACTTGAGCTCAGTCAGCCGCCTGTTCACTTTCAGCGCTTCTGCAATCGCCTGTGCTTCAGCATCGCCATACTGCCTCTCATGCAGGCTGTCTCCATTTCGTGAGCACAATTCACACTGTTCCCATATTGCCGGCTTTTTCTTACCTGAACCATTGACTGGCATTCTTGACTATGTCATACACCTCGCGCTGTTTCGAATTCATCCTCTGATACGACAGCATTTGTAATACCGTAGCTGGGATCAAAAACAAACCACGACTGAAAGCGCTTCTTTTTTTGGGAGGTTTGTTCGGCTCTTCGCGAATTCTTGTTATGATCAGAGATCGTTCGACAAAAATACGAGTAATGGGTTGATGATGAGAGTAATGATAGGGAAACAAGAGACTTCACTGAGACAAAGCGACGAGTGAACGCACTCCAAATACCCATGACAGTTGTCTTGAACAAGCGGTCGAGACGGAGTCCACCCAAAGTCTAGCGATGCACGAGCCTTGTTTCAAACACGCGCGGTATTTAGTAGTCTTCGTTCGTCAGATACAGGAAGGGAGGAATGGTCGTACTTCCGGCATCAGGCCTTGAACGACCAAGAGGATCTGAAACTTTGGCGACTCGCTTGACCGTGATTGATGGCGGGATTTCCTTTGTTCTGCTTGTCCGTACCAATCAACCCACTACAAATTGATGCAAAATATAGTTTCAAGTCAAATTAATAGTGAATAAATGTCCGTGCGTGTATTGGAAACGACACCAAGCAGATGTAAATTTGAGCGAATTTGTCGGAGCTGGCGAAGTGACAATCGCCCATCAAGACACAGCTGTCACCTCTCATGTATACTCGCATGTGCTTTGTCTAACATTTACATGCGTTCATTGGTGAAAATTCAGTGTTTTGTGTTCCACGCGTGATCAATCTAAACTTTTGGTCGTCTGACTATGGTTTGTTTCCTTTTGCACAAAAGCTCGCTTCGAAGGGCTCGATTTTCGCCAAATCTCTTTCGCCCTTCTCCCAAGCTGTGAGACTCCGCGGTCCCAAGGATCGAATCATTAAACTAATGACCAGACAATGTCGCTTGATTGATACCGAACGCGCAATCGCAACCGTCCGAAAAGCGTCCAAATCCGCGCGAAAACGCAAAATCCTCACGAACAACCACCGGTTCCCTTCGTTGGGCGGACGAACGCGACTCGGGTCCCAACACAAATACACAAAACGAATCATTCAAGTCCGTTTTGTACAACTGGAGGTTCAAAAGTGCCGCAGGGTGCTTGAAAACACCCACCGACCAAAGCCGTTACTGTCTTCTAACTAATTTTCTCCATCTTTTGATACCCAGTCCTTTTTTTTTTTTTTTTTTGTTTCCTTTACAACAAAGTGATGTTTGCTCGCCGTTTCGCTCCGTTGGCCGTCCGCGCTGCTGTTGCCTCGTCCTCGCGGGGATTCACGTCGTCCGCTGCCGCTGCTGCTGCGCTGCGACCACGGCTGACGATCGCTGCCAGCTCCCCAGTCACTGTTCAGAAGAGCGTTGCCACCGTCGCAATGCGAATGTACAGCGCTGGCGGCCATGCGCTCACACAGGACGAGGTCGAGAAGCGCGTCCTCGACGTCCTCAAGAACTTTGACAAGGTCGACGCCTCCAAGGTCAAGCTCCAGCTCACCATCACCAAACCACCACGCTCACCACCACACAACAGCACAAACACTGGCAGGTGCAGCCACAGACCGAGGCCCCTTCGTGGCGATCTCTTTCCGCCCTTCCTGTGCTGCGTGCACTGGAGTCGGCGATCTCTCGCTTTTTTTTTTTCTTCTTTCGTTCGCTTATCGAGTCCGTTGTCGACGCAACGTTGAGGATGAGTTGAACATGCGACTTGTGACGGTGGTGGTGATGAAGAGCGAAACGTGACTGCGGCACAACATCAGCAACAGCAGCGATGATGGGAGCGACCAACAAAAAAAAAAAAAAAAAAAAAGTTATCGCAATGGTCTTCCCATACAAAAAAAAAAAAAAAAAAGCAAAAAAAAAAAAAAAAGCCAAGACGCTCTTTGTGACCCTTTAGAACGGGGGGACTTTGACCTCTTGGATTTGCCTTGCCATGGAACAATGACAATGGCAACGACAAAGCAGAAAGGGATCTGGTTGGGATGCTGGACGACCTTCTTGTATCTGAGGAACACAGCGTATCAATGTGCTGTTCTCTCGCACTGTGTGTGGCCTCGTTTGCTTCGAACGGACAGTTCATGCATCAATCATGCATCAATCATGCGTGCGCCATTCATCACTGACTTTGTACATTGCAACTGGATGTTGTTGTTGCCCTCCTTCTTTGGCTCACGCTCGGCAGGTCACCATTAGCTCCACCTTTGCCTCGCTCGGCTTGGACAGCCTCGACGCCGTCGACATTGTCATGGCATTCGAGGACGAGTTTGGCGTTGACATTCCCGACGCTGATGCCGAGAAGATCCTTGGCCCCAAGGACGCTGTCACTTATCTCCTTGCCCAGAAGGGTGGCCACTAAAAAAGCGCAACTCTTTGGTTTTTTGTTTTGGTTGACTCACAGGGCCCCTCGCATGTTGCCTTTTTGTCAATTCATACACGCCACTTTTGTCTTTTGAATCATCTCAAATTCTGGATTGTATTGTTGTTTGTTGATGTCAAAAAGCAGCTGATGGACAACACAACACTTCTTTGAAACACCAGTTCGTCTTCAACACTTGATCACACGCCTCGCTGCGACAATGCCACCATTTGCTCGTACGTCATTGACTTGCGATGGCTTGTCCATACCTCGCACCAGTACACCAGATACTAGAGAGAGAGAGAGAGAGACGGGCAGTACCAAGTGAGCGGCGAAAACAACGAAAAAACTTCAACAAAAGATTTCATACCTGAAACGGGTGGAAGGAATCGTAGTGTCGCTTGCCGGCAACTTCAACGAGCTTGGCATCCTTGTCCCGACACCCATGAAAGTCCCGAAAGTGCTTGACGAAAACGGTATCGACCGGCAAGTGCGTAAAAACCCCAAGACAAGTCATGATGGTGGCGCATGCGTACGGTCCAATGCCCCGAAACTGCTGAACGCGTTTCTTAATCAGATCAATGTCGGCATTTGAGTTTACGAGCTTCTCGATGGACGAAAGAGTGCTTGGATTGTTTACAATCGCTTCCGCCAGCTGTAGAATGCTTTCGGCACGGTAGCCCACCCTACACTGCTCCTTGAGTCCTTCCAGACCGAGGTTGAGCACTTCCAATGGCGTGGGAAAGGAGTACACCACTTCGGGTGTTGCGGGGTCGTACTCTATCGACGCGGCGAGGTTTGCCGCTTTTGCGTTGCGTTTGGCCGACTTGCGGTCGGATTGTGCAGGTGTGGTTGCTGCTCCTGTTGTTGTTGTTGTTGTTGTTGCTGCTGCTGATGCTGCTGCTGCTGCTGCCGCCGCTGAATCAGCCTGAACCATGACACTGTCGGGACCGAGTGGCGAGTCGGTTGTTGTCAAAACACCCCAATTCCAACTTGCCGGGAGTTCAATGCGCTGGCCTGCCGTTTCGCACAGCCGCTCGTTCATCTTGCGCGTGCCACCCCAAACCACGTTGGTCGAAGTGATGGTCTTGACGAAATCCTCAAATAGCGTGGGCGACCGAAACACTCGGCCAAATCCCAAATGAAACGCTGCCGGGAAGAGATTGTGAAACGGGCGCGTGTCGAGATCGAGGCGCAGCATTCGCGCAATCTGCCCGACAATCACGTCAACATCCGATGCACTATGCAGGGGCGGATGGCAGAGGCACTCGACCCTTGGAAGCGGATCACCAGCGTCATCAGTGCCCAATTGCTGCCACATGCGCACGACCACCGCCACGCCGTCGCCGCGGTGGAAGGTGCGCTGAAAGTATCCGTCAATGCCATCGGGCATGCGTGAGTCTCGCGCATCGAGTTCCGGCTCATCTGCATCGCGGTCGAGGCGAATCTTCTTGCGTGTCATGACCGGCAAGTCGCCCGAATCCGAGCGACTTTCAGCGTGCTTGGCCATCGCAACCCACTTGTTCGGGTGAATGCGTGAAAATCCACACGAGTCGATTGCGCTGTACAGCTTGAACGAGCGGTCGTTCGGGACTGGGATGGAAAACCGGGTTACTGGTGCGAAATGTCCCAATTGCTCGGATTGATCGGTCTCGGTGAGCTTGTTCGGGCGTCTCCTTGTACCTGCCGCACGAGGCGCAGCAATGGAAGTAGTAATAGTAACAGTTGAGACTGAGATGGAATTCTTGGTGGACTTGCTTGAGGTTGCGCGCGGCAACGATTGGCGACTGCGCGTCAAACTCATCGCTCAGAATCTGGGTCAGATCAACAAAAAGTAGACTACGCCAACAAAAACTTGAATCTGTCATACTGTACAGTATCATACTGTACATGGGATTTTTGCTGTTCACCCTTGAGCATTGCATTCACCGACAAACAGACAGAGCTGGCTGTGATTCAAAAGCTCGATTCGAGCCTTCGAGCCTTCTTCGTGGTGCTTGTCAATTGCTCCACTGTGTGTCAATTCTCGATACAGCACGCCATGCAATACCATACATTCTTGGCTTCTGAGCTAAACTCTCAGCTCAGCTCAGTCATTCTCAGCAGTTTGCTCAGTTTCAAGCAGCCACAACAACTCGTCATGGGCGCTGTCCTGTCGCTTTGCCTCGGCAGTGGCGAAACGGTTGTCATCAACAAGCACACCTTGACCATCAAACAAGTTCTCGGCGAAGGGTAAACAACAACCACAGCGAGCTGAGCTCACTTCCCAATGCAAAGCTCAATGCACAGAAGCTGCAAAAAGTCACACCTCTGCGCCGACCCGGTGCCAATCCAGCAACAAAGTCAACCCATGGGACACATTAGCCGCATCCGAGCGGTCGAGGTGGGGCTGCGGGGGCACAACTGAGAGCGGCTGGAGAACCCAAACAAAAGGGCCAAATGGCAACCGAGTCGACGCCGGGTTGGAGCTCCACTCGGCGGCCGAGGCAAAGCACCTTCTGAAGACTCACAACGAGCGATATTGCTAAACTATGAGCTGGGGTCTGGAGGGGAGGAGGTGTTGGTTTTGGAGGTTGTTTGGGTTGAAACTCACTTTTTGTATTGATTTCCATTGACTTACTCCCCGTATGCGTGAACAGAGGCTTTAGCGTCGTGTACTTGGCAGAGGACAACTTGACATCGCGGTTGTATGCACTCAAGCGAATGACCTGCCACGACGACGAGCAACAGCGCGATTCCATGCGCGAAGTCGAGCTCTATCGCATGTTTGACCACGAAAACCTGATGCGCGTCGTCGACTCGGCCATTCTGCCGTCGCGAACAAACCCAAACTCTCACGTCAAGGACCTATACGTCATGCTGCCGTACTATCCGGTACGTGGTGATTCTCGAAACGTCAAGCGTAACGTTGTTTTGTTTTGTTTTGTGTTTGCGCAATTTCTGAAATTCTCACTCTGGGGTCGTTTTTGGGGCAATCCCATATCCTCGAAACAAAACAACAACCGCTCCTTTGCCTGTGTTGCTTGCATGCTTGTTGACAGCGCGGCACGCTGCAAGATCGCATCGAAGCCGTCAAGGCGCACGGCTCGCAGTTCTCCGAGCGCGAAATCCTCTCCGTCTTCCGTGGGATTTGCCTCGGCGTCAAGGCGCTGCATCAATACACACCGCCGATGCGAAACAACCGCATGCCGTACGCGCATCGTGACCTGAAGCCTGGTAACGTGCTGCTCGCAGACCACGCGGAATCGGGCGCTCCGTTCGCTCGCAGCGCCTCCGCCTCCGTGCCCGCCGGGATGGCTGACACACCGCTCGATCGTCTGACCCCAATCCTGATGGACTTTGGCTCTATGGCACCCGCGCGCGTCAAAATCACCTCGCGTCTCGAAGCGCTCCAGCTGCAAGATCTTGCTGCTGAAAAGTGCACAATGCCGTACCGTGCGCCCGAGTTGTTTGATGTTCCCAGTGACACGACCATTGACGAGCGTGTGGATATTTGGGTGAGTTGGTCGTGGTCGTTCTTGTCATCATGTTCGTTTGCTTGTTTTTTTCTTTCTCTCCAAAGTTGGCTTGCTCACTCACAAAATGTATCATCATCGTCCTGCAGGCGTTGGGCTGCATTCTGTATTCGCTAATGTACCTGCAATCTCCGTTCGAGTCTGCGGCAAACGAACAAGGCGGCAGTATTGCTTTGGCTGTCATTTCTGGCCGTGTGAACTTTTTGCCGCAGTTCAAGTAAGCATGCGGTTGAAAAGTTGGTGATTCGGTTTACCTTTTTTTGGTTGTTCTTCTCACATCAAATCTTTCCTTGCTTCTTTCCTTGCTTCTTTCCTTGCTATCTTCATCCGATTTAACAGTCACTCGGCGTCGTTGCAAAATCTGGTCAAGTTCATGCTCGTTGTCTCACACGAGGCTCGACCCCACATCGATCAAGTGATTGAAGAGATTGATGCAATCAGCTCGCGTTAGTCACCACAGCAGTATGGTGTTGTAGGTTTTGCGTGGTACATGAGTATGGTGGTTTTTATTTTGCTGTGAATAAGGAAATACACTACATTTTGATTGGCAATGGAAGGGATGTATTTCTGAAGCGCTGGCCACAAATCACCTTCCAAAACATAACATGATAGCACACCCACTCCCCTTCTACTTGGCAGCCATCTCGGGACTGGCAGCGAGTGCAGAAACCTGTCGAAGGAGCTCTTGGTTCTCAGAGGGCGATCCAACAGTCACGCGCAGACAGTTCTTGCAGTGAATCTCGTTTCCGCGGAAGCGCACGACAACACCGCTGTCCGCCATCTTCTTGTACAGGGCATAGGCATCGACGGAGGGTGTAAAGCGGACAAGCAAGAAGTTCGAGTCCGAAGGGAAGACGTGCGCCACTTGCGGCATGGCTTTGAATTCCTTCTCGAGCAAGGCTCGCTGTTCCAGCAAGACGGCGACATTCGAGCGCATTTGGGCCAAGCCCTGCTGTGACACTGCCTGGACGCCGACCTGCGACGTGAGTTGGTTGATGTTGTAAGGCGCCTTAAACTTGTTCATGATGGCAGTGAGTTCGGCAGACGCAAAGGCCATGCCAAGACTGTTTTGAACAGTGGTTGGGAGAAGGGGGTGGAGGGGGGGGGGACAACGGATAAGACGTGAGTGGAAAGATCAAAAGACAGCAAAACCGCCAGCATGAATTTTGACCGGTGCATACCGGACACCGGCCAGACCGAACGACTTGGAGAAGGTCTGCATAATGACAAGGTTGGGGTAGCTGGCAAGGAGGTGGGCGAGCGAGCCTTGAGTCGTAAAGTCGACGTACGCTTCGTCGAGCACGACCACTCCACGCAATGCAGGGTGATCGAGAACCTTGATAATGTCAGCCGTGGCCAGCAGATTGCCCGTGGGGTTGTTGGGTGAGCACAAAAAGACGATCTTGGTCTCGGGAGTGATGGCCTTGAGGGTCTGTTTCGAACAGGAATGGTGAGTGCCGTCGAACAACAAAAATCGTGTGTTTGCAATAATTCAGCATCTCGGCGCCGGCTACCTCTTCGACGTTAATCTGGAAATCGGGCGTGAGCGGCACACTTTGGATCTTGACATCGTTCATGTTGGCAACGACCTTGTACATGCCGTACGTTGGCGGGGTGATCAGCAGTGCGTCCTTTCCTGTAAAGTTGTCGACGAGATGGAAAAAAGAAAAGAGGAGCACAGCAGCAAAAAAAAAAAAAAAAAAAAAAAAAAAAAAAAAAAAAAAAAAAATTGAGCCTTGTTTTTCCTTGAACATTGCACCATCCACAAAAGGGCCAATGTTGTGACAAGCAGCAGATCGGCGTCGTACCGGGAACACAGAAGATGCGGACAAGCGTGTCGATCGCCTCGTCCGAGCCAACGCCCAGGAAGATTTGGTCTGGCTGAATCGACCTAATCGACAACCACATCGCCAACAACCATTCGACATGAATCACGGATGTGAAACACAAGTGAGTTGTAAGGCTTTTCACATGTCTGCAGTGCTGCCGCTATTTCTGCTCAGGGTCTTTGACAGCGGTTTTCGAATCCAGTTTGGATGCAACAAAGCCGGCTCCTTCTGGATGTGCGATGGTTGACCCACCTGAATGCAGCAATGTCGCGCTTCATCTCGACTTGGTACGGGCTCGGGTACCGCGTGAGCTCGTCGTCGTCGCCTTTCTTGACCACAGCAGCGCCAATGCTGTTCTCATTGGCGTCCAGCAAGATGCCTGCAACCCCCCTCCCCGCAAAACACAGCACAGACGTCAGATCAAGCAAAGTGCCTCCAATCGTGAGGATGGTCAATGTTGAGGGTGGTGGTGATATCACTGCACCGAGCTGGAATCAAAGGAACAAAAAGGCTCCGCTCCGTTACCACGATCACAGTCCCGCTGATCACGCCGTTCCACACGCTCAGTCGCAAGTTTGTTGGGGGAATTCGAGCACAAGTCAGATCAGTGGTTGGCGCGGGGGGGGGGGTTTACCTTGGTCGTAGTCGTCGCGGGCACAGCGGTAGGGATCGAGCGAGTAGACGTTTGTGCGGACGATCGCGCGGAGGTCAAAGTCAGGGCGTTTGGACATTTGTGTGTGTGTGGATGAATGGATGGGTGGAAAAACAAGGAGTGATGGCTGTAAATGGAACTGGTGTCATTTATGACAAGACGGGGGAGGGGGAAAGAGACATTCACAATTGAAGAAATGGAGATACACAGACGCCGCAGAGTGTGGCTTCAAACACACAGACACCCGGTGCACAAAGACAAACACAAAAAGAATAAAAAAGAACGTCGAAAAAAAGGTATCAAAAGATCAATGGTTGTCAAAAGAGACAGGGAGAAAGAGGGGAAGATCAAGTGCAAGCGCAAATCACACAACAATAACAATGACCAGCCCAGCGGAGTTACACCTTGCTGCGTGCATCCATCGCATAGACGGAGACGAGCGAATCGGTCGAACCGGCAGCCAGCATGACTTTGTGCGGATGGAACGCCAGCGAGCTGACAGGCCCGATACGCTGTCCGAGGAAACCTTCGTGGTAACGAACGGCACTCAACGTGGTGCCTGCAGTGTTGAAAATCCTGATGAATTGATTTTGCGAGCCACTACAAGAAGGAAGAGGAAAAAAATGCGCACACAGGTGAGAAAAAAAAAAAGAAGGTGAGAATGAAACATCACAAAAGCGGCAAGTGACTTGCAAGTGCTTCAAACTTACGATGCAAGCACAGGGGCGTTGTCGTGCATGGCAAAAGCAGTCATTGTTCCCTGGTGCGCATCCAGAGATTTGACAGGCGCGACGAGATCGTCGCCAAACCGAATGTCCGAAATTTTAATGTCGCCCAAAACACTGAAAGCGAGCGAGTTTGAAACACGAGCGTGAGCAACCGCAGCTCCATCCATGCAAAAGCACGACACAAGCACGACACATGTCGAATCATACCTGCCAGAAACAAGCTCGCGCGAATTGTTGCGCTGAAGCATGACGCTCACAACCCAAGCACGATGGTGCATGAGCGTTTCAACAAGCCTATGCGATGAAGAAGCAAGCAATGCGGTGACACGAACAGGTAAGCATAGAAGCAAAAATGAAAAAAAAAGGAGCGCATCAACAATGCCATCTCCACCCTTACGCGTGCTCTCGGCGCGTGTCGTAGATACGAATGGTGCCATCTGCAAAGCCAGCATAAAGAATGGCCGGATCGAACGGGTCGTGCGTCATGGACGTAACGCAGACGCCAGACTGAGTGAGCATAGCCTGTTAGAAGCAAAGTCAATTCAAACAACCAAACAACCAAACAACCAAACAACCAAACAACCAAACAAATCAAAAAAAAAAAAGTTAGTAAACTCTCTTCTCCTGTCACTCCGCTGCTTGACATTGCCTGAACATACCCGCTCGCAAAGCTCGGTCTCCACGTTCCACGTCTTGATCACGGATGAATCGCCCGCGGTGAAAAGAATGCCATTCCGGCTTTCCCAATCCGTGATTAAGCCAGAGCCCCGGTTGGAGCGCAGAACCTCGGTGAGCGGACGCCATGCCGAGGCGAGCTCTTCGTGGTGCTCTTCCGGTGCATTCCGCCACAATCGAACAGCGCCATCGTCGGATCCGACCAGCAACAGCGGCGACTCGGACTCGTTGATCACTTTGAGACTGGTGATTCGACTGGTTGCAAGATTGCCGTTCGGGAACTGGTTGATACGCGTGCCCTTGGCCCAGTTCCAGATGCTGACCACGTTGCGCGAGTCGGCGACCGCGAGATACGGATCGTACGGATAGAACAGGAGGGAGCTGGTTGCTGCGTCGTTGTCACGCACAAAGATCTGTCCATCAAGCTTTCGCGTTGCCGCGACGAGATGCTCACGGCGCGCTTCGTAGCGGTAGCGCACATTCTTGCGAGCCTGGTTGATCTTTTCTTGGAACGTCGCACTCGTCGGGTCGTCCTCGGGGCACGGCTTCATGAAAGGCTCCGAGAAACGTTGGTAGCACCACTCAAAGAACGTAGACACGAGCGGCATGCCATTGGTTTCGGCTGCAGAAGCAACGTGGGAAGAGCGACCGGCGGCGTCGACAGAAGACTGCTGACTGGCCTGGCTGGCCATGCTGGCCTGGCTGACCTGGCTCGTTTGGCTCGCCTGGCTGGTTTGGCGCTGGAAGGCCATCTGCATTGGCGCTGCATTGGGTGCCATTGTCGAACCGCCCGCGTACGTCGCTCCAGCAGCATTGGCATTTGCGCCAGTAGCTGGAGCGGCAGGGTTGCTGGCAAACACGCCTTGGCCACGTTGAGCAGAGCCAGGGGCAACGCGCTGCAGTGTCGGGGTCTGCGGCTGGCCTTGCTGTGGCGGAGGAAGGCTGGTAACAGTGGCGGAAGGAATGCCTCCTCCTAGGCGGTTGCTGCTTGAGCTGCGGACAAGCGGCGACGAGGTGTTTGCCGGCGCAGCATACCCGCTCGATGACGATGCCGCCGCCGCCAACGGAGATGGAGCTGCATTCAACGTCCCGGCAAGTGCGTGGTGACGCTTGTTTGCTGATGCAGGCGTGGAAGGGAGCCGCGTGAGCTCGGGAGCGGGAACGACCAGCTGAATGTTGATCGAGTCAACGACAAATTGGGCCAAGGTCGCAACATCAAAGTAAGGATCAAAGCTCAAGTTGAGCAAGGCAGTCCATACGTTGGGATAAATCCACGCAGAGCCATGCAGCATGGAGGTGGGTCGCGGCGTCATCTTGCCCGTGCGACCACCGCTGTTGTGATCGTCGTACGAGTTGTCAGGGCTGGCGCTGCTGCTGAATGCCATGTCGGCCATGCGTGACCTGTCCTCGTCCAGGTGCTCGAGAGCAGCAGCGCGGAACTTGGACTCAAACTGCAAGACCAGCTTGGAGAACGCAATCACAATTTCCTTGCGAACCAGCGGACTGGCGTCACCGCAAATGCCGAGCAAGGCGCGCGCGATCGAATGCTCAATGTTGATGACTTGATCCGTGCGGTCGACAGTGCAAAAGAACGTGCCGAGAGCAAACACGGCCGCGGCGCGGACTTCCACCACAGAGTCGTGCAGCAGGTTGCAAATCTTGGCCGTCGCGTTGTCGCGAACACCATACCAGCGTGCAGGATCAAAGTTTTGCCACGCCTTGCCAATGCACAAGCAAGCCCACTGGCGCAAAAGCGGATCAGGCTCGTCCAGCTGGTCGAGACAGAGGGGCAGCACGGCGCTGTTCATGCAGGCCTCCTGGCCCACGCGGAAGTTGTCGCAAATCACCGACAAGACAAACGCAGCCATTGATCGCTGTTCCGAGGGGCATGTAGGATCGGCGAGCAGGTTGACAAAAAAGCGGTGGTTGTCGTCCTTAAGCAGGTCGGCTTGACAAGACTGCAGTTAAAAATCAGCAAAATGGCAAGATGGAAGTGAGAACCTAAACAAAAACAAATCTCCCGCCTAAAACAAGCAGAGGTCTGAGTTTCGTACGCGATCAACGGCAAGAACCTTGGCCCAAATGAACACGAGGACTGCGTGAAGCTCCACGGACGGCGACAAGATGAGTTTGAGCAAATACGGGAAGATGCCTACAGAGAGCGCCTAAATCCGAAAAGAAAAGGATCATGGTTAGCGGTGCGCTTCAATAAAAGCGTAAAACAGTAATGTGAGATGCTGTACCATATTGACCGCCCACGGTCCCAGATCAATGAAACGACCCAGAAGCTCCAACGCACGCAGTCGATGCAGCTGACTCAGCAGCACCTGCAAAACAACAGGAAGTTGTTCTGGAGGCTTTCGAGACTCGGAGCCCATGTCGAGCCAGACTTCGAAGGCTGTCAGTTGCTCGGCAAAGAAAGGCGAGTGCTGAAATGCAAGAGGAGTGAGTGCAAAAAAAACTCCATAGCAAGGATTCCAGTCGAGGAGCAAAAAAGCTACCATACCTGATACTCGGCAGTGCCGGCGCGAATCTTGGGAAGCTGTGAGACGCAAATATCGACCGCAAGATCCCAGGCCGCCCTGTCCAAAATTGACAGACAAAGTGTGTTGGGTGCAAAAAAATGTCTCCAAGGAAAAAGCAACGAAATGCAAGACAGAATAAGCAAACGTTACCACATTGGATGCTGATGGGTGGAGGGCAGGCGAGGGGAGGAAACGGGATTGCAGCTGACAGACTTCATGATGCGCTCGGCGAGAATAAAGTTGCGGAACAAGCTGGCAACGAGCAAATCCTGACGGAAGAGTCGTTGGAAGACATCGCAAGGAAGCGTGTTCCAGGCAATGGTGTCGGTGACGGTCGTGAAAATCCAGTTCAATTCGCCCAGAGGGGAGCGACGATCTGTCAGCTTGCCGGGAATTTCATCAATCATTTCGAGCGTGACACCTTGCACCAGACGCCTGCTTTTTTGGAAAAACCAGCGCAGGGCTACCTGCATTGGCGTGGTCAAGCACGAGGTGAAGAGGTCTGCGGGCAAATCTGGGTTCATTGGGAGCGTTTCTGTCGGACCGCAAGCCGCCAGTTGGATGCAATCTCGCAAGGGGGTGATGGCAGGAGCGCCTTCGGTGGGTTGCGCGGCAGCGCGCTCGATTTGGCTCTCGCGTTGACTGACAAACTGGTTGAACGTCTCAACAATCAAGCCGGCAGACGAGCAGTCGTACACGAAAATGGAAGGACTGCCGACCCAGTTTTGAAGCTCGTGGAGGGACAGTGGAATGTACTGCGTGTAGTTTTTGTTGAACACCCACAGCTCGCCGTTGGGAGTGGGTCGCGGGACGCCGTGGCCGTTGAAGTGAAACAGCACGCGGTCGTCCTTGGCATTTCTACGCAGACTGGTGCACAGGCGCTTGATATCGTCCACGGTGGGGTCGAGTGAGGGCTTGTAGCGCGCCTTGTTTTGCCAACGCGAGTACTGCTGCTCCAGCCGCAGACCAATTTGTTCGAGGGCGCGCTGCGGCGGGACGGAGAACGGATCTGCGGGTAGGGGGACAAAACATAAAGGGGGAAGCAGGATGGGATCCGTGTGAGTGAGTCATCCAAGCCAAGAAAAAAAAACAAACAAAGGGAATGAGTAGAACCACTCAATCCACCACAAACACAAGCGAAAAAAAACAAACAAACAAAAAAAAAACACAAGCAAACAAAAACACAACCTTCTTTCGGAACTCACCCATCCAGCATTCGAGACGTGCGCACGGAGACGTCTTGACAATGTCCGGGGGATCGACACCAATGTTCAAGCAAAGCACTAGCGCGACACACACTGTCTTCATACGGTCGCGAGTCCGCCACGCAGCCGGGAGCCGGATGGCACCATCGGGCAGGCCATTGTTGCGATGGCGAGGCTCGCAAAAGTGCAAATCGAGAAGCAGCCCAGACAAGTCTGTGCCGTTTTGCTGCAGCCCAGGAACATCGTCCGGGTCGGGCGAAAAGTACTTTTCGACAGCCACAGACCCTGTTGCGGCGTTCTCGGAAAAGGCCTGGGATGAGGGATTGGTCTGGGATTGAGACTGCGATTGGGATTGTTGCTGCTGTTGCTGCGCCTGGGAGGTCTGTTGCTGCTGTGCTTGCTGCAACGGTGGCTGCGAGCCAGCATTGCGCCCGGCGCTGGCAGGAGACAGTCCGCGAACGGGCGTGCCAGGGACGGCGAGCCCTGGGGTGAACGGCGCCGAGACTGCTGCTCGGCCAGCTACAGATTGGACATTAACAACACCGTTGCTCGAAGCAGCGGGGAGCGGGGTGGCAGGATTTGCTGCATCTGGAGCGATCGTGGCGCGTCGGAGCTTTGCAGCGCGGGTGATGCCTGGGGAGATTGCGCCAAGGCCTTGCTGCAAGGAGCTGACGAAAGCAGGATGAATGGGTCGTGGCACGTACGTGAAGCGCAGCTGCAGAGGTTGCTCGGTGCTGCTCGGTGTCGTGAGCAGTGGCAGACCGCCTGGCCCCGTCGGAGGCGGGTGTCCGGACGGCGTCGAGAGTTGCATTTGCAGTTGCTGCAGAGCCTGCAGTTCAAGCTGCTGTTGGAGCAGTACTTGCGCACTCATTGCTGACGGAGGACCTCCTGCAGACGGTGTTGGCGGCGCACCAGCGCGTTGTCCATGCTGGAGCGTTGTGTGCCCCTGAATTTGACCTTGGGCGTGAATCTGACCTTGAGCCTGAAGCTGACCTTGAGCCTGAAGCTGACCTTGACCTTGGGCATGAACTTGGGAGTGTGCTTGAGCGGCTCGCGTTTGCTGGTAGTGCTCTGCTTGGAGTTGAGCCTGGAGCAGATTGGCTTGAGGAGGTTGTTGCAGCTGTGGTTGTTGGTATGGATGATTCAGCTGCTGAGCCGACGTTTGCTGCTGAAGTTGTTGTTGTTGTTGCTGTTGCTGTTGCTGTTGCTGGTGATGATGTTGCTGCAGCTGCGGCTGGGTCGTGTGAGGCTGCTGGCGTTGAGCGACGGCTGCAGCTGCATTGGCGTTGCTGCTGCCTCTGCTGGTCGCGTTGTCGGGGACCGCCGATGCGCTCGCCGGGCCAGTCGGTTTGGCAAACTGCTGCTGCTGATGCAACGTCGCCTGCGTGATGAGCAGCTGGGTGGTCGGTCGCCCTCGCCTCTGCTGTGCTTGAGCTTGAGCTTGAGCTTGTGCTTGGTAGGCCTGCTGCTGGTCTGCCTGACTCGCGACTCCACCGCCGCCGCCAGTCTGTTGCTGTTGTTGCTGTTGCTGTTGTTGCTGCTGTTGCTGCTGGAGCTGAGTGCGGTGGTTGAACTGCTGGTATTGCTGGAACTGCTGGAACTGCTGCTGCTGCTGCTGCTGCTGCTGTTGTTGTTGGAGTTGTTGTTGTTGCTGTTGCTGTTGCAGTTGCTGCAGTTGCTGCGTCTGCTGCTGAAGTTGCTGGGCTGGCAGCGTCTGTCGCGGGGCAACCACAAGCGACGTTGTCGGCCGCGTCGCCCGCACTGGAGCAAGCTGCTGGTGATGACCGCTCTCAGCCTGCTGACTCTGGGTCTGCTGGAGCTGCCCTGATGACGACGATGATGCTGATGGTGGTGGTGGGGCGGCTGCGGCGGCTGGCGTCGTGTTGTTGGTGGACTGGCTGGGCTGCTGCTGGTACTGCTGCTGCTGCTGCTGCTGGTACTGCTGACCATGCCCACCACCACCATGCTGACTCTGATTCTGATGCTGACTCAGATGCTGCTGGTGTTGCTGCTGCTGGTGTTGCTGCTGCTGCTGCTGCTGCTGCTGCTGCTGGCTCTGGTGCCGCTCGCGTTGCTGCAGCTGGTACTGATGGAGCTGCTGCTGCGCCGCCTGCTGCTGAGCGGTCGGAGTTGCGCCTGCGACCAATGTCGATGTCGATGTCGATGTTGCTGGAGCTGCGACAGGTGGGCCTGCAGTGGTCGAAGCCAGAACGGACGCGACCGCAGCCGCAGCCGCGTTCGTGAGCGACGATGCAGAGTCTGTCGATGAATCCGATGACATTCAATGGCGACTGAGCCTCAATGAATGCATATGCATTGAAAGGGGTGAACACAGGGCAGAAAGAGGAAATAAAAACCCCTCTCAATAGAATGGTAGTCGACGGAGTTGTTGATCAGAATTGCAGAGGGAGCTGCTTTTTCCATTCATTCTCACAAAACTGTCTTGCTGCACAAGAATGGTCCTGTTACGACCTTACCCGGAACTTAACCTAGAATCACTACTGAAGCGTACGAATTGTATGTGGAAGTATCGATATCGTGAAGAATGAGGGGAAGACCGATTAGGGATGAGCCCAGTTCGTAACAGAAGGCGAGTGAAGCTTGAATCTTTTGAACACTCAGAATGAATGAAAGGAAGCTGAAGCGTGGCTTATTGCAAACAGCACATGTGAGGTTGAAAAGCACCAATCGACGACTCTTCAAGTCCGCAACACACACACACACACACACGATGAAAGTTTGACTATGAAACAACAACAGTCTCCTTTTTTTTTTTTTTTTTTTTTTTTTTGTGAAAGCTCTTCGAATGCTGTCCTATCACAGTATGACTGAGAGCCAGCGCGAGCTGTACGACTGTTTCAAGAATGAGGAGGATGACGTTCAAAGGTCAGAGCAGGCAGCATTTCTCGGAACAGTGTGATCGCGCGTGTGTACTCACGCAATTGGAGAGACAGCCTGTCTGATGATGAGATTGGCGACGCAGAAGCACAGGCGATCGCTGCAGCACTCAAAGTGAACACGACGCTGACTCAGCTCGAGTGAGGCATCTCACTTTGACTGGTGCATGTGGGTGGGTAAACCAGCAGAGTGCTCACCGATAGAAGAGACGGACAGTCTGAGCGAGAATCAGATTGGCAATGTTGGAGCGCAGGCGATTGCTGAGGCACTCAAATCGAACAAGACGCTGACTTCGCTCTCGTAAGGCATCTCACTTTGACTGATGATGGTGAGTGGAAGATTTAATCAGAGCCATTCAGAGTGCTAACTGATGGAGGGGCATGTGGACAGTCTGGGTAAGAATCAGACTGGCGACGCTGGAGCGCAGGCGATTGCGGAGGCACTCAAAGTGAACACGACGCTGACTAAGCTCAAGTAAGGCATCTCACGTTGACGGATGCATGCAAATGAGTGATTTTCAGGCGAGGGCATTCGGAGTGCTCACTGATGGTGGATGGGATGCATAGTCTGAGTTGGAATCAGGTTGGCGATGATGCTGCCAAGGCATTCGCAGAGGCACTCAAAGTGAACAAGACCTTGACTAGGCTCAAGTAAAGCATCTCAATGAATTGGTGCATGGGAGTGGGCGATCCAGAAGAGTGCTTATTGATGGAGGGGACAGGCTGCACCAGGTTCAGATTGGAGATGCCGGAGCGCGCGCGATTGCTGAAGCACTCAAAGTGAACAAGACGGTGACTGAGCTCGCGTAAGGCATCTCGCTTTGGCTGGTGATTGTGAGTGCGTGATGTCTGCAGATGGCATTCAAAGTGCTCACTGATGAAAGGGATGGACAGTTTGGATGGGAATCAGATTGGCGATGTTGGAGCGCAGGCCATTGCAGAAGCTCTCAAAACGAATAAGACGTTGACTGCGCTCGAGTAAGGCATCTCACTTTGACTGATGCATGTGAGTGGTGATCTAACGGAGGGCATTCAAAGTGCTCACTGATGAGATGGATGGACAGTTTGTCTCTCAATCAAATTGGCGATGCTGGTGCGCAGGCGATTACCGAGGCAATCAAAGTGGGAACGACGCTGACTACGCTCGAGTAAGTTGCCATGTGCTCTGCTCGTCTCGGCAGGATTAGCCGTACATTTGGCACCAAGTCATCCAACTCACCATTTGGGCGACAGTCTAAGCAATAATTGCATTGATAGTGCTGTTGCTCAATTGATTATTGAGGCAAACAAACTCAATATTGCTGATGTCTATACGTAAGTTGGTAGTTTCGAGATTATGGAGTTGTCGTGCTGACATCTTTATTTTTTTCATCGCTTGTTCGTTGCACAGCTACGGTCAGTTCAACCCTCTCGTACTGTCTTTACTTCCACGATTAGCAAGCGCCGAAGACACTCATACCGTGTTTTGCTTGCTGACCAGCGGACTCGAGCTGGAGAATCAACCCGCGTCTCTGCCAGCTCTCCCAGCCGAGATTGCCGAGCTTATTGTGGACGAAGCGCACTACTGGCAAGGCGTGCAGCACATCAAGCGATCGCAGTTTGATGATGATTCCCCCGACTTTATTCTCAAAGTCACCGTGCCTCAAGGCGTCAATGGGAATTCAATCCGTGTGAAAGCAATTCAAGTGCTTCGTGACTGGAACAAACGTCCCAACAACACCGATGACAACGTCTTTGATCTGATTGTCCGAGATGAACAAGGTGCTGTTCGATACAAATTCTCGGAGAAACCGACTGTCGTTGATCGGACCCTCGAGCTTGTGACAATCCTGCGAGCGAGTCATCCTGTCATCCGACAAATGCGTGAAGGTTGGCAAGTTCAAGTTCGACCCAGCAAGTTTTATCGAAATGTACAATTTGAATCGCTTTATGTGGGATATGTCTAAAGGGCAGAGAACGCCGTTGTTTTGTTTTGATTTGTTTTTTTGAATACATGTTGAACGTTCCCGACAGTGTTTGGGCAATCTCGAGTGTCGACCTTCTTGAGAGATGAGACAAGAAGCCTCGAATGAACACAGGGTGAAATGCAATTTGTTGCTTGTTGACCGATTCACATGCAGGCTGACACACGCTCAGATCGGCAATCTTCAACCCCGACCATTTTCAACCGAGTCCCCTGAGATGGCACCTCGGCTTCATGCTCCATTCTCTCGTTTCGTCCAACCTACGAGTATAACTACATGCATCCTGAAAGTGGGGGCGAGTAGGATTGAAATCCCTAGAAAAACCAAAGGCGACACGTTCAATGACAAGGGGTCCAAAAAACAAAAAAGGTAATCAGTGTCGTAAAAGCTGTTTTTCCCCACTCTCCAATAATAAGCGTACTACACCAACAAACAAGACCACAACCACGACAAGCAGATCTGCGATGCGTATGCGGGCAACTTGAACTCAAATCAACTCAAATCTTGAGCATTTCATTCAGTCAGTCCTTTTTTTTTTTTTTATTTCCTGTGAGCAATTCAATTTCCATTTCGCATCATCGCCATCGCGCTCTCCGCTTCCACCCCACCCCGCGACTCGGCCACTCTGGATGACCGAACTTGCTCGGCTCCCCCCCCTCCTCCCCGCTCCATCCATCGGCTCTCATCGCATCGCCCTCCCATCAGTCAGCTTGTGGTATTCGAGGGCAAATTTTGAAGTGATCGCCGCTTTTTTTTTTTTTTTTTTTTTTTTTTTTTTTTTTTTTTTTTTTTTTGCCCCCTTTCCTTTGCTTTGACGTTACGTGGGGAATCCAAAGCCACAGCCAGCCAAACCCGCTCATTCTTGTCAGACTGCGACACGAGCGGCACAACGTTGCAAGAATGGAAGTCGGTCTCGCTGAGTGATGCACAAGATCGCCCTCCTCCCAACTCCCACCCTCCGCTGACTGACCGACCGAACGAACAAATTCATACAAAAAAAAAAAAAAAAACCGAGTCAATCCAACGTCAAAGAACTTGTTTTTTTTTTTTTTGAAAAAGCTTTGATTTTTTTTTTTCTTTTTGACGTTCGATTCCTTCTTCACGTTTGTTGTCGATCGATCGAACGAAATTCGTGCAACGTGCGATCTTTGTGTCGTCGGGGTTTTCTGAGCAAAAGCCGATCATCGAATCACTTGGTTGTATTGTCGTTCCCTCCAAATCTCCTCAACCCTTTTCTGCCACTCACGTTCGTCGTCCGTCGTCTTCTCACAAGGTCGTGCTTGGTGTTTGCAAAAACAGGTACCTTTTTTTTTTAATTCCATCCATCTGGTGATTTCATCCTAGCGTCAAAGGATCCACAGAAGATGGCGAGCCCCGACCCGTGGACAATCACCCCGGCGCAGCTTGGGCGCTACCTACCCATGTTCAACGAGCTCCGGCCAGTCAATGGGCAGGTTGCAGGTACAACAGATGCAGTACAACGATGTCGAGATTGGAGTTGTTGTTGGCTGTGACGCGACTCACCCCTCCACTTCTTCTTGTTTGTTTTGTGGGGTTTCTAGCCGATCGCGCCCGTCCCTTCCTGCTGCAGTCCAAGTTGAGCATGCAGGTGCTGGGCCACATCTGGTACGTGTGGATTTGACTCGACCATCCAAACACAGCTCTTTGTTGGCGTTGTTGGTCTGCCAATCTCACTTTTTTTTTTGTTTTGGTTGTTTTTTTTATTTTGATTTGTGCTGTCTCTCTTGTCGCAGGAACCTCGCCGATCTTGACCGCGACGGCAAACTCACAGCGCAAGAGTTTTCCATCGCCATGTGTTTGGTTGAGGCCCAGTTGCGCGGCATTCCTCCGCCGCCAACGCTGCCCCCATCGCTCGCAGCTTCTTCGGCCGCGGCCAACGCGCACGGCGGCGGTCCTTTGAGTGCCGCTTCGCTGATGGGTGCATCGGCGGGTGGTTTGCCTGCTCCGATGATGCCCATGAGCTCGACCCCATTGATCCCCACCCCAAGTGGCGGCGCCACCCCACTTGCACCTTCACCGCTCACTGGGCTTGCTCCGATGATGCCCACGCCAGTTTCAGGCGCGCCAATTTCAGCCCCTGTATCAGCAGTCGGCCCGTCGGTTCCTGCTGCTCCAGCGTTGTCGGCATCATCGTCTTTGGCTGCGGCCCCTGGTGCTGACGACTGGGGCATTCCAGATTCAGATCGCAACCGCGCACGTCTTCGTTTCAACGAGCTCGATCCCAAGCGCACAGGTTTCTTGACTTCCGTCATTGCACGAGATGAGTTGACCAAGTCACACCTCCACTATTCGATTCTCGGCCAGATCTGGGCCCTGTCTGACTTGGATGCTGACGGCAAGCTGACAAGCGACGAGTTTGTCATTGCCAGCTACTTGGTCAACCTTGCCCGTGCCGGCCACCAACTGCCCCCGACATTACCCGTGTCGCTCATTCCGCCGTCCTTCCGCAAGCGGCTTGTTGCCAGTGGGGTTTTGCCCCCGACGGCTGCCGGCTTGCCTGCGTCGTCCGCTCCTTTGGGTGCCGCGAGTGCTGCAGCAACACCGACGCCAGCTGGCGCCCCGGCCGACGCTTCCTTGGTGTCTGGTGCTGGTGCTGGTGCTGGTGCTGGTGCTGCTCCTGTTCCTGTGCTCACATCGTCCGTGCTTGACAATGCTGAGGATCGCAGGCGCGAAAACTTTTTGAAAGGCCAGGAAGAGCTGGAGCGTCGCCGCCGCGAGGCTGAAGAGGCCGAGCGCAAGCAACGCGAAGCTGCTGACGCGCGTCGCAAGGCTGAGGACGACGCCCGCCGCGAACGTATTGAGAAGCAGCGCCAAGAGGAGGAGCGCCTTGTCACGCTTGCACGTGAAAAGGAAGCTGCGCGTCAAGCTGAGCTCGAGCGCGAACGCGAGGCACTCAAGCGCAAGGAGCAAGAAAAGATGGCCGCCGAAGCGTTCTTTGCGTGGCGCAGCGCTCGCCTCGCATTCTTGACGCAAATGAAAAATTCCGAGCAAGAGTCCCTTGCCGCCCTCCAGGCTCGCTCGGAGAGCTTGGACTCGTCGCTTGCCAGCGTCAAGTCCCGACTCGAAACCGCCACTCGGCGGTTTGCGCAATGCAAGGAGGAGCTTCAAACAGAGCGCATCGATCTCGAGGCTGTCGAAGAGTCTGCGCAAGAAAAGCGTCTCGAGGCAGCCCGCAATCAACAGATGCTCTACGACATTGAGCGCCAAACGCTCATGCAGCGCGAAAACAAGAAGGCTGCAAGCCTCATGATCAGTGGCGGAGCCGGCAGTCCGTCCATCTCGGCCGCTGCCAGCGCTGCACAGGTTCAGCAGCTGACAGAGCAGCTGAGCCTGCTCAAGCCGCAGCTTGTGACGCTGCAGAACGACCTCACTGCGCTCAAGCCCAAGGTGACCCAGCGCAAGGCTGATTTGTCGTCGCTGACCACCGATTTGACCGTCATCCAGGACATGCGCGCGCAGCAGCAACAGCGCCAGACTGTTCTCAAGACCCGAAAGGCTGATCTCGACAAGAACGATTCCCAGCGCCAAGAGTACAACCGTCGCAAGAAGATTGAGGGCGAGCGTCAAGCTGCAGCTCACCGTCGTCAAGAGGAGGCCAAAAAGAAACAGCAGCAAGACCAGCTGCAGCGTGAAAAGGAGGCCAAGGAGCGCGAGGCAAGAGAACGCGAGACCAAGGAGCGCGAAGCAAAGGAGAAGGAGGCGGCAAAGCAAAAGGCAGCGGCTGCTGCTGCCGCCGCTACCGCTGCTACCGCTGCTGCTGCTGCTGCTGCAGCAGCATCTGCAGTTTCAGCGACTTCGGCCAAGCCTGCACGCCCTGCCCCGCCGGGCAGCAAATCGCCAGCGGCAGCTTCGGACAAGCCTCTCAAGCTGGCACCCAAGCCGCCCGGTGTTGCTGCCAATGCCGCTCCCGCCCGAAAGCTGGATGTCTTTATCGCCCAGTTCCCGTACACGGCTGGCAACGACGATGAGCTGTCCTTCAACCCCGATGATGTCATCTTGCTGGTCAACAAGCAAGACGACGACTGGTGGGAAGGCGAACTGAACGGCAAGGTCGGTCTCTTCCCTTCCAACTATGTTCGCATTGCAGAGCCTCACGAAATCCCGGCTTCAATCAAGTCTGGATCTTCAGCTGCTGACGACAAGAAGCGCAAGCAGGAAGAGGAGCTTTTGCGCAACGCTGCTGATCTCGCCAAGCTCGAGGAGGAAAAGCGCAAAAAGAAGGCTGCCGACGACGAGCGCGCTCGCAAGGAGGCTGAGGAAGCCGCCCGGAAAAAGAAGCAGGAAGAAGAAGAAGCTGCGCGCAAGAAGAAGCAACAGGAGGCCGAGGAGGCTGCTGCCCGCAAAAAGAAGGAAGAGGCAGAGGAAGCTGCTCGCAAGAAGAAGCAGGCCCAAGAAGCCGAAGCCGCCGCCGCCGCTGCTGCCGCCACCGCTGCTGCTGCTGCCGCCGCCGCTGCCGCTGCCAAACCCGCTGGAGAGCAAGTCAAGGCGCTGTACGACTACAAGGATGAGCAGTCTTCGCTCGTCTTCAAGGAGGGCGACATTCTGCTTGTTTCGGCCAAGCACGATGACGGCTGGTGGAGCGGCTCGCTGAACGGTGTCGAGGGCATGTTCCCTGCATCGTACGTTGAGCCACATGTCGCCGCGCCCGCTGCCTCCGCTGCTGGTGACCAGTACGTTGCTATTCACGCCTTCCCTCGGGAGCGTGACGACGACCTTGCCCTGAACGTCGGCGATGTTGTGTCTGTGATTGACAAGTCGGGCGAGTGGTGGCAAGGCACGCTGCGTGGCCAGACTGGCTGGTTCCCCGGCAATCACGTCGAGAAGCACACGCCGGCCGCTGCCGCTGCAGCACCACCCGCCGTTCCTGGCGGTAAAACCAAGGCCGCTGCCGCGATTGCCACTGCAGTCACCCCTTCGTCGTCGACGTCATCGGACGCGACCAGTGGGTCGGGCAAGCCGCTGATTGGCAAGGTCATTGCCGCTCACACACCCAGCTCGGACAGTGAGATCGCCCTGACCGTCGGATCCCTTGTGCAAATCATCCAGCGCCTGCCCGACGGTTGGTGGGAGGGCACGGTTGCCGCCAAGGGCCAGAAAGCTCAAACTGGCTGGTTCCCCGGCGACTGCGTTCAGCTCATGGAAAAGAAGGGCGAGAAGGCTGGATCTTCCAACAGCTCCACGGTGGGCGCCCCTGCTCGGCCACCGGCTGCTGCGGCCAGCACACTTCCTCGCACCAACTCCGAGTCGTCATTTGTCTCCGAGGCGCCTCCTCAAGTTCCCACCAAAGGCGCGTCGGCTGCAGCAGGAGCGGACGCTTCAGGCGCTACTCCAGCCAAGGTCATTGTTGCCTATCATGCGCAGAACGATGGCGAGCTGTCCCTCACTGCCGGCCAGCTCATCAAGATCACTCAGGTCACCGACGACGAAATGTGGCACGGCACCGTCATTAGCAAGAACCAGAAGGTCAGCGGCTACTTCCCGCGCAAGTGCGTGCAAGTCATGGTGAAGGGCGCGCGTCCCGTGTCAATGATGCCTCAAGACGAGGAACGTGCGGTTGCCAAGTTCTCGTATGTTGCTCAAAACGCCGACGAGCTCACTCTGAAGGAGAATGACGTTGTCATTGTCAAGTCCAAGAAGGAAGATGGCTGGTGGGAAGGCGAGCTCAACGGTCGCGTTGGTCTCTTCCCCGCCAACTACGTCGTCAGCACGGAAGGTGAGTGACTGCGGGGATTTGACGGTTGATGGTTGAATTTGAAGAATGGCCAGTTGGTTCACTTTTTGTTTCTTGCACCCGTCGACAACAGTGAATCGCAAGAACCTTGTGAGTTGAGCAAGCACTCTCGGTCCCAAATGTCTTTATATGTGTCCCCCCTCTCAGGCTTTGCTGATTTGTGATGTCATCCCCCCATTTTTGATGATGATGATGTTGTTGTTGTTTGTTGTCGAGTTTGGAATGCGCGCCGTGGGTTTTCAACTTTCCTCTCCTTTTCAACTTTTCAACTTTTCCACTTTTCCACTTTTCCACTCTCTTCTCTTTTTCTCCTTTTGTTTTTTCTTTCTTTCCTTTTTTTTCATTCACCCATTGCGCGCGCGTTCTCGACTGAATAAATGCGCGTTGCAGATTTTTCTTCTTCCTTTCAGTTTCCTTTTCATATTTCATTGATGCATTTTTCAAGCGCTGCGATTTTTCTCTTTCCGTTATTTGGACTATCTCACTCTCGCTCTGAATGACTCGTTGTTGACTCACATCCAACTGTCTCGTGTGCATGGCAGGTTTTTGAGGAACTGGATTGGACGGAAACGGTTGATCCAGACCTTGTAGCGGACCTTTCCCCGTCCGAAATCAAGCGCCAAAAGCTATTGTATGAGCTCTCAGTCACAGAGGAGGCATATGTCCAAGACTTGCAGCTCGTTGTCAAGGTGCGTTGACGTCAGATGTCGAGCGAACGGCGTGGGGACATTGTGTTGCGTGAACTGACGGATTCGGTCCCCATTGGCAGCTCTACGAGGAGCCCATCAAGGCCAAAAACCTGCTCACTCCCGACGAGTTTGAGACTCTTTTCATCAACTGGGATACATTGCTCAGTCTGAATGAGGCGCTGTCGGTCGCTCTCAAGAGCAATCGCACCGCGAACGACGGCTTTTCGAGAGGCGCCAGCAAAATCTTGCTCGAGTCGATCAAAAGCATGACCACGCCGTACATGAAATTCTGCTCGCGGCAGTCGCGAGGCATGGCGTTGCTCCAGAACAAGGAGACTCCGCAGTTTACGCAATTCTTGAAGGTGTGTACCGCTTTTCGACTTCTGGAACCCGACCCTGCATTGCGACGACCTCGATTCAGGGCATGTCGCTGACACCATTTGTTTTTCCTTTTCCCCTTTTGTCATCAATGTGGTAGAAAACGCTCAAAGACCCTCGCTCTGGCAGTCTGCCATTGATCAGTTTCCTGCTAAAGCCGATGCAACGCATTTCCAAGTATCCCCTGCTGTTTAAGGGAATCTTGCAGCACACTCCTCAAGGCCACGAAGAGTACGCCGCTCTTAACGCAGCACTTGAAGAGAGCAACAAAATGTTGGGCATTGTCAACGAGCACATTCGCCTGATCGAGTCCGAGGACCGTCTCAAGCGAATCCAGGACACGCTTGTGGTTGACGGCTTGACCGAGGTACGCTTTTCCCCGTGCTTACCATTTTGATGTTTTTCATGGTTGGAGCGAGTTTGTCAAACGCGAGCATGCCATTCACCCTGCACACAAATTCACCAACCACAGAAACTCGAACTGGCGTCCGACACGCATTCGCTCGGCCCCCGCATGTTCATTTACGAAGGCGTTCTGATCAAGCACAAGAATGGCAAGGAACTTTACGTCTTCCTCTTTAACGATTTGATTGTCATGTCCCGGCGACGACCAAACCCGGTGCTCGAAGGCAAGGTTCCCACCGACCAGGCGTTCACCTATCAGCTGTATCGAAAGGCAAGTGAAGCTTTTCGCTTTGTTGGTTTGTTCGATTGTTGCAGCAAAGGTTGACTCACTTCCATATTTTGTTTTTTCTTTCTTCTCCTTGTTTCCTCCCCCTTTTTCACTGCACCAGCCAATCAATCTCAGCAGCGTGGCTGTCAAGAGCATGCCTGACGATCCGCGAGGAAGCTTCCTGTTTTCCATCACGCACGCCGAAGGCACTATGCTTCTTCGTGCAGAAACCGCGAAAAGCAAGACACTGTGGATGGAAAAGATTGAGAATGCCGTCAAGTACTATCTCGAGGTTGAGCGCAACCGTCTCGAGAGCTTCCGTAAGCCCGGCGTCCGTTCTCCGGCGTGCGACGTTTTCTGCACTGTTTCTATGTTGTACTCACCTTTTGCTGCTTCTCCCTCACCGCTGAGACAACAGATTCACGCGCAAAGGTCAGCACCAAGGTGGGCGAGCTCAACTTGACGATCATTCAAGGCATCAATTTGATGGGCATGGACGCCAATGGTACAGAGAATTTGCTTTGGTTGTTTTGAAGGTCTAGTCGCCGGTTGGATTGATGCTCACTGCCTCCTGTCATTGTCCTAAATGCCAGGATTGAGCGATCCTTTCTGTGTCATCAAGATTAGCGGCCAGGAGCAGCGAACAAGAGTGCTCAAAATGACGCTCAATCCCAAATGGGATTCAACCCACACGTTCGATATTGCAAGTCTCGACGACAAGCTGCGAATTGAAGTCTACGACCAGGACGAGTACTCGACCGATGGTACGACCAGCCAAACATCACAAGAACAAATTGGCCAATTTTGTTCTTGTGATTTTTGCGTTTCTTTTTATCCCTCAAAAACTCACGGTCGGCTTTTTTCGGTGCCATTTTTGCACTTTACAGATAGCATCGGTGACATGGAGCTCAATCTGAAAGATTTTGTAAACACTGACCACCGCACCAAGCTTCGACGCCCGTTGCGACACGTTCAACGTGGCGAACTGATGCTGCAAATTGAATTGCGTCTATCTGGCGCTCACTAAAATTCAACGGCAGTTACTTCCCCCTCCCACTTCACATATATACACTCGTTATCTATGATCCGTGCTTTTTTCATGTTTGAAGAGCCATCCTGTGGGTTCTTTTCCGCGTTACTTTTGTGAATTACAAACCCCCCTCTAACGCCGTGACTCGCGTCCCTTCATTCTTGCCGTTACACCATGATTTTTGGATGCAAGATCTTTTGCGTCTACGTTCATTGTTAGAAAAAAAAGTTGTAGATGAGTGCGTTTAGACGCATGGCACAAACAAACAAAAAATTGACAAGAGATGATGGAAAAACCAGGAATCAAAACACTTCAGAAGCCGCTTCTTTAGAGGGCCTCGCGAAGAGTTTGGGAGAGCTTTTGAATCTGCGAGCGCACACGCAACAAAGCAACGGAGAAAAAACAAAACAAAAAAAAAAAAAAAAAAAAAACAGAGAGACCATCCATCGTGAGCATTCCGATTCTGCAACTTGAACCACATCAAACTCCGACACGCAAAAAATATTCACAACTTACACGCGAGAGCACGGACATGTCAATGTACTTGTCGCCAAGCTCGATAACGAGGCCGCCGATGATGGTGGGCTCGACGCGGAAGTTAAAGGTAATCTTCTCGTTGGGCTTGACAAAGCCCTTGAGAGCCTGCTGAAGCTGGTTCTGGAAGGATTGGTCGAGCGGGTTGGCAGAGGCAACGTTGCACGAGACAATGCCGCGCTGGGCGCGCATGATGGTGTCGTAGGCATCGGCGACCTGGAGGGTATAGTCCAGTCGGTTGTTCTCGGCGAGAGCGCCAAGAAGGTTTTGCGATAGAGCGTTCAGCTTGATCTTCTTGGTGATGTCGATGGCGAGCTTCTTCTTGTCCGATCGCTTGAGCAGCGGGGTGTTGAGGAACTCGTTGAAGGCGGCGTCCGCGTTGGCGAGGTTGCGGACCTGGGCGAGATCCTTCTCGACGGCCTCCAGCGCGTTGTTCTTGGATGCAGCCGAGTACAGGGCCTCAGCGTAGCGACCAGCAACGCCAAAGACGCGGACCGGGGGCTGATTGTTGGGAGAGGTTCAAGGTGAGAGATTGAGTGCAGATTCACATTTTGAACGTTGAACACACCCATGTTTGCCCCCCCCCCTGCCTCCGTCCCAACGAGCGCATCGAGATCGCCATGCTTCAATCCAAACTGTTCTTGCTTGTTCGTATATGTTACCTTGACGAGACCGGTGGCCTTGGTGGAGGACATGCGAACGAGGGCAGGCTGCTGCTGCACAAGGATCAAAAAGACACACAAATCCAACAAGGTCAGTCGCCAGATCGGACAAGCAATGAAGCAATGAAGAAGGGGGGAAAAACCAAGTGCGGCACAACGGACAAAGTCAAAGTCAGTGGACAAAGTCACTGGAAAGTCAATGGAAATGCATTGGGAAAGAAAAAGAAAAGAAAAAAAAAAAGCGATCGCTCCTTTTTTTTTTTTTTTTAAGAAGGGGGGATTTTCGCTGCTCGCTCGTCCGCTTGGATCGCCGTCGTGTCGGACAGAGCACTGATGTTGTCGATGAGAGTGTGCACTGTGCGCGTGTGCGGATTCGGAGCGAACGAGCGAAAAGCAGAGCAACAACAGAAGAGAACGAAAGGGGGGGGGGGAAAAAAA